ACCCCTCCAACGATCACTACCTCTTGGCCATGATGAATCATTTTCTTTACCTATAAAGACTCAGGACAGTTAGCATGTGAAAACCAACAGAGTCAAATCTTTTAGCGTACTTTGGAAAATATTATGGGTGTTAACTTTCTGAGGACCGTAAACTAGGCAAACATGTCTTTTACTAATCACATTGATTCATAGGGGTGAAAAGACCATTGAGAGAACAAGAAAAAAACAGATAAGAACGTCTAGTATTTCTTGAACATCATCTATGTAAACCAAGAAGTATTACCTCAGATTCAATCTCTTCAATATTTATGCTGTAGTTTTGTCCTCTTTCCATGATATTATATCGATTGTGGTTTTGGAGCACAATGATAGGTACCAGCACTCTAGTTGCTAGATCAACCGTCTCAAACCTGGTTGCACTCAGAATGAATCATCTAAGCACAATTTTCATTGCTAGAAGGAAGTAAAGTCTCACATATCATATTACCTGACATCAGGAGCTATGACGTGCTCAATTGTAGTAGCTACTAACGCTGCTAACTGACCAGAAAAGATATCATGGGTAGACTGATGACCAACAGGGCTAACGTTTCCTGGAAGGACAATGTTCCGTATCCTTGGCACTGTTCTGGGACTAACACTTCCCTCTTCAGTTTCAATCTTCCCATATGTACACGGCCCCGCAGACAAATCAATGACAACATATCTATCAAGAAGGGAAGATAGAAATCAGAAATAAAGTCATGTTGAGAGCTTAGATGAAAAATTGTAGCAGATAAGAACAGAAACAGTTCGCCAACAATATCTTGAATATTAATTCAGAACAGAAAAGCTGATTACTACAATAATCTATGATTACCAAAGTGAAATGAAGTAATACAATAATAAGTTCTTATACTCTTTGTATTTCTCTAAAGCTTTTTGTGTATCTTTTTTTTCTGGCCTATCTATAATTAACAAAAGGGATCATAAAATCTCACATCTTTTTTTATGCATAATTTGATGATACCTAGATAGATGTAATACTTTAATAGGGTGGTAGATTTTGTTTGATCACATCTATGGCACAATCACTCATAGGGATAACAAGGAGATACCAAGGAAAACCCACTGAGTAATTTTGTCCTTATTTTAATGCAAAGAGGAAAGAAAAACAAAGATAAGTTTACCTGCCTGATCCGAGCCAAACTTGGGATGCTCCTCCACCATTGTATCTATACCGATAAATATAATCTGCCTCTTGTTTCTCTTTGTCTGCATCACTAAGCTCTGGTAGCTTTGAAAACATGAGACTGTCTAGATCGATCTCTGTATTTCGAGGATCCATTCTTACCTGAAGATAGAGTTAAGAAAAGAAAGGGGCAGTTAAGAAATACAGCAGGATATAATCATTTTCCATTCGAATGCAAACATGACAAGACAAAACCAACTTTAAGAACAAAGGGAAATATGAGGGTTATAAACCCAAGAAAGCATAAACAAATCTTCCAAACAACACAAAGCAAACAAAAACTAGAACAGGTAACACATTCAGACGTTCTGCATAGCTTATGCAAGATACAAGAAGTAAGACACTGGAAGCCATACCTTATCAAAATTCACTACAAATATGGCACTAGGTATAGGTTTATCTGCTGTTGCTGCTGAACCAGCTCCCACATCCATATCAAATATATACGAGTAAAGCTGGTTAAATGCGGACTCAACTTTTGTTGCCTCTACGTCATAGGCAGGTAAGTGTCTTCCAAAATCAGTCTAAATACACAAAAAAAGTTTCAACTTAGCAACATTTACATTAGGATGCAGATTTTACAGCGATGAAATGTAAATTTCATCAACATATTTGATATGTAATAAGGTTGGTTACGAGACAAAAATAGATATTATAAGATCACAGCAACCTCTAGTGCAGTTCCAGCAGGCACCATGGCTTCTTTCACTGCCTTCTCCAGAGCTATTAATTCGGGTTGCCCACTCTAAGATAAGAAAAATAAAGACGAATATTTAAGTCAATGGGCTAACAGTGAAATCTCGGCATCAGGAGTCTCTTAAGAAGTGCATATGCAGTAATAATCTGCTCCTGAAACAAAATGAATTTCAGCTAAAGCAAATATAAGATTCCAAAACTTGCAGAGCTTTGTTTGTGAACAATTCAATGACGCTAAGAAATACTATCCCCCATATAGAATATAGGATCTTGAAACAGTGAAAGCAGAAACGATATCAAAAATCGTGAAGACTGGTTTAAGATTCATAAATTACTCACGGGAAAGATATTATAAACAACTTTGTGCTCAATGTCAAGTGGCTCTCCCGTCTCTTGGCATGAGGGCCTATGGTTTGAGAAACTAGCTCTTAAGAACTCCTCTAATTTTTTATGATCCACGGAATACCTGTAACCTCCATCCCCATTCAGACCTACAAGCACTATATTCACTTCCAGAGGAACCTGAAATGGTACCTGCCAAAACAAGTTTCAAAATGTTGAAATTCAATTCTCAATGTGTCACCCAAAATCAGCTAATCTAATAACCATATGCGATGAACAAAGCTATGATCATAGGATTGAATCAACAAAAACGAAATAATCATGAGTTAGTCACTTTTAACTACAATTCAGTGACTCCACAAAGCCAGCTTACTAAACGATTTCTTCTTCTTCTAGCTAATCCAGACTCACTAATGATGATAATTCACATTACTTAAGATTGAGATATTACCTCAGCACGGGAGTGAAGCATACGGCGGACATCGGATCGAACACTCTCTCGTACGTCGAGGAAAGCGCTGTGATGCCAATGTGGATGACCCGGCTCGCGGCGGAAAGGTTGCTGAGCTGAGTCGGTACGGGAAACGAGTCCGCTTAGAACCGAGAGAAACACGAAGAATAGGAGAGAAGAAAACGAATTACATCGTGAATCCGATCTCAACTCCATGACTGGATTTAGAAAACAACCGGAGATTTCGCTCACCTCCCAATTTGGACTGGACTGGAGAGAGTCGCTACAAGTCGTTTACGGCGAGGAGGGAGGAGAAATGGGAGATGAAGGCTAATTACCTTTTTACCCTCATATATTATGCAAATTTACAACAGAGAGATATCGTCATAGCTTACGAAGAAATTACAAGCAACGTGTCACTTGTCATGTCGTCGTTTACCCCTAGAAATATCCAAACTAAACAACCAACTAACTCACGCCACGTGTTTACTCACACTCCTTTAAACAAGCTCGTAACTGTTTGCTTCTCCCAAAGTCTCTTCTTCCTTATCTCTCGGAAAGCCAAAAGGAGAAGGGATGGATCGTGTGGTCTTCTTCTTCCTCATCGCAGCCGCGTTGTTAGCAGTCTCTCTCGGATCCGGCGACGGTTTCGATAATCCGATCAGGCAAGTCGTCCCGGAGGAGAACGATGAACTCCTCAACGCAGCACATCACTTCTCTCTGTTCAAATCCAAGTACGAGAAGACTTACGCGACTCAGGATGAGCACGATCATCGGTTCCGTGTGTTCAAGGCTAACCTAAGGCGAGCTAAGCGTAACCAGCTTCTGGATCCGTCTGCTGTACACGGCGTCACGCAGTTCTCAGATCTTACCCCGAAGGAGTTCCGCCGCCAGTTCCTAGGGTTGAAACGCCAGAAGTTTCGTCTTCCTACTGACACTGAGATTGCGCCGATTCTTCCCACTACCGATCTCCCGACGGATTTCGATTGGCGTGAACAAGGAGCCGTCACACCTGTTAAAAACCAGGTTTGTAGAGTTTTTGAATTGGTGTGATTTTTAAGCTTTTGTAATCGTTCATGGATGTGATTTTTGCAAAATCCGATGGTAGAGAAGTGAGTGTGTGTTTTTTGATTTGTGAATAGGGTTTGTGTGGATCATGCTGGTCATTTAGTGCGACTGGAGCTCTTGAAGGAGCTCATTTTCTTGCGACTAAAGAGCTTGTTAGCCTCAGTGAGCAGCAACTCATAGATTGTGACCATGAGGTTTGTTTCCATTATCCATTGTTTGTTTCTATATGAGGATCCATTTGATGTTTTTTGGTGAAGTGATTGTATAACTAGTTTCTATATGTTTTTTGCTCTTCCTGCAGTGTGATCCAGCACAAGCCAACTCATGTGACTCTGGTTGTAGCGGAGGACTAATGAACAACGCGTTTGAGTACGCTCTCAAAACTGGTGGTCTTATGAAGGAAGAAGACTATCCCTATACAGGACGTGATCATTCCGCGTGCAAGTTCGACAAGAGCAGGATCGCTGCAAGCGTGTTTAATTTCAGTGTTGTCTCTTCTGATGAAGATCAGATCGCTGCTAATCTAGTCAAGCACGGACCTCTAGCTAGTAAATTTTGAAAAAACTCTTTTACCTTGTTACTAATTTAAGAATTAGAGACTTAACACATCGTTCTCTTTTGTTGCTCAATAGTTGCTATCAACGCGATGTGGATGCAAACTTACATAGGAGGAGTCTCGTGCCCATATGTATGCTCAAAGAGCCAAGACCATGGAGTGCTCTTGGTTGGGTTTGGTTCGTCCGGTTATGCACCAATCCGTCTTAAGGAGAAGCCTTATTGGATTATCAAGAACTCATGGGGATCAATGTGGGGAGAGCATGGTTACTATAAAATCTGCAGGGGACCTCACAATATGTGTGGTATGGACACAATGGTATCTACTGTTGCTGCAGTTCATACCACAACAAAGTAGAATTATTAGGACACTACTGAATTATACATGTCCTTGTGTATATGTATGGATGCATAGACAATACTACGAACTGTTATTGTTAGTATTGTCTCTCTGTTTCAGCTTTGATGTAAAATAGCTTGGTGATAAGATCTTTGTAGCATCGAATGCTGAAGATAATATTGATTACCAACATATTAAAAGTTGGAATAATAGAAATCTTATGTTTTATATTCTGTTTGAAACAATGAAACTCGTGAGTTATAGAGGACAGAACCATTAGCCAAGAGCTTAGGTTTCTCTGTTCTGTTATTTATTAAAATGTGCAATCCATTAAATACAAAACGTATAAAACTCTCTTGCTCATATAGATCGTTGTCAAAACAAAGACTTATTCCAAGGATAACAAATATCAAACTGCTTCGTTACATCGCTAAACCTACAAGGTCCGGTTTGTCTTATCTTCCACACACACTTCTGGCACCAGTTATCACCAGAAGTATCTCGATGGTCTTTATATATATCGAACGAATACCATCCACTTGGCAACCTTGGCCATCCAAACTTACAGAAAAACAATGTCCTTCCAAAATATTGACGCGAAAATCTAAAAGACCACGACTCACCTGGCTGCAAAGTCTGGTTACCAAAATCATCGTCTTTTGATCTACAATGGTATAGTAACGTTAGCTGATCACCGAGATCGTTTATGATTTTCACGGTTACTTTCCCGAAAGGAAACACAGAACCATTGTCGTTCGGAACCCGAATGTTGTTATTATGGTCGGCCTGTGATGATTTAGTAGTCAAGAAGATGATCAATATGAACATTGGTGTAAGGTATTGCTTTGGAGTATCCATTGTTTTTGTCTAAGTAGAGGGGAGTTTCAGCTAACACTATATAGCAATTTGCAAGTGTCGAAAATTATAATTTATATACTTTATTATTTCCATATATATTCTATCCGAATATACGGTACGTTTCTTGAAACGATGCATGTGGTCAAATTTAGTTACGTATTAAAGGGACGTTCAAAAGAGGAAAACAAACGTTAATACTTAATTATTGTGTGAAACTGTGAATGAAGTATGTCAATTTATGAGTTATATGTACAAAGGTGATATGTATCTTCATTTTGAAAAACAAATAATTCCTATTCTTTTTCATTTTATATACATTGAGAATTCATTTTCCTATATAGCTATCAGTTTCATAACTTCTACCAGATTTTCCCCCAAAAGAATCTATTAAGGAATTAAGATTTAGACCATCCATAATGGGGAGATCTTAAAGTAATTTGTGATTAAATAAAATGCAAAAGGTGGTATAAAGAGTAAAATAGTATCTTAAATAAGATACAAAATCATGGTATTTTAACTCTTGACTCTACTTTTTTTCAATTTTGATACTAAATTATTCATAAGATCCAAACTTAAGATGCTCTTATTCCAATTATGGACATATGTGAGACTTACTTTACTTGATTTGTCTTACACTTTTGATTTGCGTTACACTTCTCAAGCAGACAAAGATACCATCTTACACTTTTCAAGCAGACAAAGATACCATCTTACACTTCTAGAATTTTTTTTTAAGGTTTGGTTTGATTATTTTATATTTAGGGTATAGTCTTTAGGGCATAGAGTTTATTGTCTAGAATTAAGGATTTAATTTTGAAATATGGTGCTAATTTTGAAAAAATAGAAAAATGTGTGCTAAGTTTGGAAGAAAAACTTAAATTAGTGTTATTCTTGAGAAATAAAGTAATCTCTCTCAAATTAAATTACACAACCATAACATAGGGGCTAGCTCGAGGATCTTCTTCGTTATTAGGGGATTGACGGTTGTGTCGATTTCTAAACCTTCAAAGTCTCGGAGTCGTTCGTTCCTTCTTTGCTTCTTCTCTAGAGGTTTTTGCGGCTGAAGTATGTTTTGTTTCTTATTATTTATCTTCAACGCCCTAAGTAAGTAGTCTTTGATGTGCAATGTTTATTTTACTTTACCCTATGGATCGATCGTTATCGCTTTCAGTACATCTACCTTATCTCTATGGGCCGGACTAACCCACGCGCTTTAGCGCTAATTGACATGCCTACTACATATAACACACAAATCGATTCTAGTTTCTCTGTTTGAATATCTAATTGAATATCTCTGAGGAAGATATTGAAGATCCTTCTTACACATTGTACCAGCAAAAGCTTGCTCAATACCGTGCAGATCCTCGTGACTCGTATTACTCGCACAAGCTTACTAAATACCTTGTTGAGATTCGAAAGGGAGCTACTGATGTTTCAGATCCTATGGATATCAAAATCCTTCATGCGCCTCCTGATGTCAGAGTATCAACTATTGCTGACAGGGTAGCAAGTCTGGTTGCCAAGTACGGATGGGAGTTTGAGTTGATGGTCATGGCATCTAAATACAAATGATGCAAGATTCAAGTTTTTGTCGATCTCAACATCAGATCACGGTCACTCATATTACCAGAAAAGGCTTGGTCACTACTGTTTTCTTGATCATGATAGAGTTCCTGATTTTGAGCCTTGTCCTCAGTCTCAATCCAGGGTTCAGTCTCAAAGACTCGTTCTGCCTAATCATCTAAACTGCAGACTTCTTCAAGGGATGACCCTCAGGGAGCTTGATACTGTTAAGGTCACAGCGCAGTTTGTGGCATGGTATGGTGATTATTTTTTGTGGGGAACTGATAGAAAGAGTGCTGGTGAATCCAACTGATGACAGGTTCAAATTTATGAATCCGACTGATTACAGGTTCGCTTTTTTCAACGAGTTTGTTACTGCGTATTCGCAATTATTACATCCTCCAAAAGATTTGAATGGCAAGCTGAAAAGGAATGCTGCTTATATGGACGCCATTCTCGAGGGTTTTTTGGAACGTGTTCAATGGGATCCTAATCCAGGAGCAACAATGGCTTGCGGGAGGGGAAGAGGCTATGATGAATTGGCATGCTTCCGTGTCCAGAGATTTTGTCAACAAGGAGGAGGGTCAGGAATTGCAACCACCACATATCCCTGGAATGTCTCCTCCTGCTCCACGGGAGAGACAGAAGTTGGACGAGTCATCCCTTGCTCCAGAAGACCAGTTTCTTGAGCAACATCTGGTAATGTTTTCATCAGACTCGTCTTAGAGGTCCTTTTATTATCTTTCTTTTGTCTTGAGTTGTATCTGGTTAGCAAGTGTACTGATACATACTTTTTTTCAGGGTTTGTCTACAATCAGAGTGATTTGTGCTCTTGATGGACAAGTAATTAAGATCAAAGTCAACTCATTGTCTGAAAACATAGCAAGTTTGAAGGAGAAAATAGCTGAGGTGGTCCAAGTTCCAGCAAGCAAACAGAGTTTAAGTGGAACAGCCGGAATTATAGAGGACAATAATAGGTCACTTGCTTATTACAATGTGAGACCTGGAGAGATCCTAATACTGGACGTGGTGTGACTTGGGACTTGGGAGATAAAGAGATGGAACAAGGCTTTCGTAGGTTAGAAGAAGGATTTATTTACTAACTTAAGTTATGTTTTGGATATTTGCAGCTACTTGTTCTGTCTGTAATCTTACAATATCCGTGATTCTCTTTTATGTTTAGCTACTAGGATTGCTCCCATAGTCATATCCTTGGTCTCTTTATTAATTTTATCTACATATATGAAATGACCCTGTTTTGTGGAGATTCATCTTCCTATAGTTGTCAATTTCTGTAAATTCCACCAGATTTTTCCCAAAGAATCTATTAAGGAATGATGATTTATTTTTCAATGATGGACATGTGTACTGAGGTAACCCAACTTTACTTGATTTGCGTTACACTTGTGAAAACAAACAAAGATATTATTATTGAAGACAATAATCATAAGATAGATTAAAGACAATGGTACAAAGTAGGAGTACTATTTTAAGATCAATAGACACTGTCTACAACTTAGAAGAAGGTTTCTTGGATCCACGTCCAGCTATAAACTCCTGCATCTTCTTAAACTGTTCCTTTGTCATCCCACTGTAATACGCATGAGCTCGCTCCTACAAATTCAAAATGCAGTTTCAGATTCTATCAATGAAGAACTGATAAAGAAAAAAGTATAAAAAATGGTAACAAGGTTTAACCTTTTCGAGAGTGAGAGCATGTCCAAGATCAAGCTTTAGTCCATCATTGATAACAGATTTAATCCTGAGAACCATGCCTTGTTCATTCTTGATTATAGCCTCTGCAATTTCTCTAGCTTTATTAAACGCTTCTCCTTCTTCAACCACATGGTTTACAAACCCTAACTTCCCAGCTACGTCAGCTGTTAATGGCATCGATGTTAAAGAAACTTCCCGAGCTTTATTTGCTCCGATGATCCTTGACAGCTTCTGAGACAAACCCCATGAAGGAAATATCCCAAACCTTTAAAACAAAAGACAGAGGAATCACAATGTTGAATTGAGCAGAGCTTCAGAACAACATGATTTATATGATCCAACCTAAATTTGACCTATATTGCTAGATTCAGTTCTTATGATCACAAAACACTAAAACGACGTCGTAGGAGAAGAAATAAACCTTGCGTGAGTATCCATGAACTTAGCTCCTCTAGAAGCGACCAAAATATCACAAGCCAAGGCGAGCTCAAACCCAGCGGTGATGGCGAAACCGTTAATAGCTCCGATGATCGGTTTTCTTAACCGTTCCATCTGCACAACCGGGTCGGTTTCCGGATCCTTGACGTCTCCTTTGAAAACAGACTCCGCAGCAGTCAAATCAACGCCCGAGCAGAAAGATCGACCCGATCCGGTGAAAATCACGACCTGGACCGATTCGTCGGAGTCCATATCCTTGAATGCCTTGGCGAGATCCACCATCATCGCTCTCGTGAGCGAATTGAGAGATTTCGGACGGTTGATTGTGATGACGGCGATCCCGCCTGATTCCTTCTTCACCATGATGAGATTTTCCGATACTGTTTGATCCATCTTCGACGATTCCGATTACTACGAACGAGTTTCGAATTTTGCCGATCGGGGTTTTCAAACTTGCGTCGATTAAAAGGAGAGCGAGCGATGATTTTATTAGTCAATGAGGAAGAGATGACGAAGAAACTTGGATTAGTGTGCCACTGTTTTGTCGTTAGTAAACTGCGTCCCGTTTTTGGCCGCTCTTTCGACGCTGCGTATTTTGTTTCTGAATCATGAAAACGGCAACTTTTCAAATATAACTTTTGAGTGACCAGTAAAGATATAAATGGTTTGCACATCAAATCTTACATATACAGTTTAATCTCTATAAACCAATAATTAATAATTTTCAGAATTAAGATACTTAGTTTTATCATTTATATTAAAATTTTCCTGATTACATAATTTTCAGAAAACTCTATCTAATTAAGAACCTTTTTTTGTTTTCTTTTTCCGGTATAATCTTTTTTTTTTTTATATAACCATTACATGTAAGAAATCAATAGAATCCTTAAAAATGGTTGATATGATTTTAAGAAGACATTATCAGATTTTTATGCAAAAAATAAATAATATTAGAGATGAGGTTTAACAAAAATGCAAATTCAACTTAAAAGTAGCCAACACTAGATCATATTTCATTGAATTTTCTTTGTTTACATACATATATATATTATAATTACAGTTGCAAAATTTTTGTTAATTTCAACCAACAATTTAAAGGATGTTCTGGACCGATGCTAGTTTTTCTACCTAGTGTGTATAAAGTTGAGTTGAGACCCCTCGAAAGTAAAGTTCAAAATCTAGGAGAAGCAAGGTTCAACAATATCCTTTAGAGGGGTACCAGCCAACACCTATACACTGATTTGTCAAACATTATACATTAGATATCAAGGATAACGAAATGCAATCGTCGTCTAACCACACGTTTTCGACCATCATTATAAATTTATAATCATAGGCATTGAAACAACTAATGTGTCTTATACTCTTATGTCGACAACAAGTTGATCAGTTAACTTAAAAACAACCATCTTGCTTCAATTGATTTTGTCTTTCTACTCTTTTTAATAATACTCGTACTACTGTAGTACTGTTACCGTGTTTCAAACAACATCTTGTATAAATCAGCTAGACAACACATTTAATTTCTCACAAGCTTTTTTCATCTTTTCTTTTTCTTCTTTTTTTTTGCTACTTTTAATGTGGTTTGAGTTAAAAGTTAAATTTGATTATGGATCAAATGTAATTATTAGGTTTAACCCAAAAAATATATCCATTTTCTCAAAATTCTCTATAATCATTTTGCACCTCATTAAAGATATAAAAAATCTTGATATTTGTATAAAATTATCTCTAAACTATTATAACCTAGATATTCTAGTAAAAATGAAAATTAATCTAGATTTAGGATGAAAATATTCCAGATATTTTGTAATTTGAGGGTATAAGTACCTCTTACCCCTCTCATTTGTAAATTGTTACCAAGTTGTGAAGTTTTTCCAAGTTAATATCAAAGTAAGAAAAGTCCTGTTTCCTAAAATTTTCTCACAACAAACACGTAAAACATTTTCTTTCATCACCACCTTTAAAAGCGTTTTCTCTCAATAGAAGTTGCATTGCAGTCTTGCAGATTATTTAAGAGTAGATGATTTTTTTTTTTTTTTTTTTAATATAGAAGTGTTGTGATATTGATTGTGATTCAATTTTCAGGTTTGGTCTAAACCGGAGAGATTGAGGATTAATTGATTTCCGGTTAAGCTGGTTATTGATCTTGCAAAATGAGAAGGAGTAAAAGCGTATCATCTACTCGCGATAGAAGATTTGCTGTTAGCATTGGTACTTGGTATAAATACCAAAATCTATTCTTCTTCTTCCTTGTATCGATTCATCTTGTAACAGAAAGTGAGAGAGAGAACCCAGAAAACTCCATTGTTGTAAAGCTCGATATTGAGCTGATTCTTCTTCTTTGATAGTGGATTGCCGGATTGAATCTGGCCCCAGACGTAGGCTTTGTCACATCGACTTAGCTGAACTGGGTAATCAAATCTCTTGTGTTCTTCGTTTCTTTTCTTGTTTTGATTTGTGTTGCGTTTTCGTTTATTCATTCACGTAAAGCATCTGCAACAAGTTCAAGCAAGTTTCACGAAGTAAAGTAGCACAGATTGTAACAGAGTGGTATCAGAGCCAGGTTCAAATCGATGGCGACGACGACGAAGTTTGATATTGCAAAGTTCAATGGCGAGACCGATTTCTCTCTTTGGAAGATCCGTATCATGTCACAGATCGGAGCTCTCGGACTCAAGAGCACTATTCTTGATTCATCCTTAACGAAGGTTGTTCCTCTCAGCAAAAGCGAGTTAAAAAGACCGGGTGATGGAGATTCCTCAGATGTTGATGTGCCTCAAACCAAAGAAGTTCCATATCCTGTCAAGATTGACAAGAATATACAGGCACTGAACATTATCATAAGCCACATTGGTGATAAAGTTCTAAGGAAGGTGAATCACTGTGAAACTGCTGCAGAGATGTGGACTCTATTGAATAAACTCTATATGGAAACTTCTCTGCCAAATAGAATCTATGTTCAATTGAATTTCTACTCGTTTAGGATGAATCAAGCTCAAACAATAGACCAGAATGTAGATGACTTCTTGAAGATTGTTGCTGAGTTGGGTAGTTTAGAGATTCAGGTTGCAGAGGAGGTTCAAGCAATCTTGCTGTTGAACTCATTACCAGCTAGCTTCAGTCAGCTTAAACATACTCTTAAGTATGGAAACAAAACGTTGTCAGTTCAGGATGTAGTCTCATCTGCAAAGTCATTAGAAAGAGAATTGGCTGAATCTAAAGAATCTGAGAGAGCACCTGCAACAGTTCTGTATACAACAGACAGAGGAAGACCTCAAGAGAGAACTCAGCACAAGGGTTCTAAGGGTAGAAGCAGAAGCACATCAAACTCCAAGACAAAGGTCACTTGTTGGTTCTGTAAAAAGGAAGGTCATGTCAAGAAGGACTGCTATGCTAGGAAAAGAAAATTAGAAAATGATGGACAAGCAGAGGCTGGAGTGATTACAGAAAAGTTAGTATTCTCAGAAGCATTGAGCATGTATGATCAGGAAGCTAAAGATAAGTGGGTTATAGATTCTGGATGCACTTATCATATGACTTCACGCAAGGATTGGTTCACTGAGTTTGATGATAAAGAATCAACCATGATCTTATTGGGTGATGATCACACAGTAGAGTCAAAGGGCTGGGGTACAATCAAGGTGAATACTCATGGTGGATCTATCCGCATGTTGAAAAATGTCAGATTTGTTCCTAACTTGAGAAGAAATCTCTTCTCTACTGGAACACTAGATAAGCTTGGTTACAAGCATGAAGGTGGTGATGGTAAGGTCAGATTTCACAAGAATGGTAAAACAGCTTTACAAGGAAAGTTAGAAAATGGCATGTACGTTCTTGATGGTCATACAGTGGTTAATGAAATCTCCAATGCTGAGAGTGACAGGGATAAGACAGTATTGTGGCATAGTAGACTAGCTCATATGAGCTTCAACAATATGAAGATATTATCTGATAAAGGTCTGATTGAAAAGAAAGAAATCAAGGAACTAGGATTCTGTGAGCATTGTGTAATGGGAAAATCTAAGAAGCTCAGTTTCAATGTTGGAAAGCACATCACAGAAGACATTCTTGGGTATGTTCATGCAGATCTATGGGGATCACCAAATGTTACTCATTCTATCTCAGGTAAACAGTATTTTCTGTCTATCATTGATGACAAAACTAGGAAGGTCTGGTTAATGTTTCTGAAATCAAAAGATGAAACATTTGACAAGTTTTGTGAATGGAAGGAATTAGTAGAGAATCAGGTGAACAAGAAGGTGAAGGTGCTAAGGACAGACAATGGGTTAGAGTTCTGTAACTTAAAGTTTAATGAGTCTTGTGCTAAGAATGGCATTGAAAGACACAGAACTTGCACATACACACCTCAACAGAATGGAGTAGCAGAGAGGATGAACAGAACCATTATGGAGAAGGTAAGATGCATGTTGACTGAATCAGGTCTTGAAGAGAAATTCTGGGCTGAGGCAGCTGCTACAGCAGCATATTTGATCAACAGGTCACCTTCTTCTGCTGTAGATCACAATGTACCAGAACAGTTGTGGCTGAACAGGAAACCAGGTTACAGTCACTTAAGGAAATTCGGATCTATTGCTTATGTTCACCAAGATCAAGGTAAATTGAAGCCTAGAGCACTGAAAGGAGTATTCTTAGGCTATCCTCAAGGTACAAAAGGCTACAAGATTTGGCTGTTGGAAGAACAGAAGTGTGTAATCAGTAGAAACGTTGTCTTCAATGAGAATCAAGTTCTCAAGGATTTACATCAGAAAGATGAACAAGATGCAACAAGAGAAACACCACAAGTTGCAGAAGGTGAAGCTACACCTAGTAATAGTGTTGAACAGAACACAGGGTTATCTAAAGAAGGTGGAGCTGCAGTAGTTCAGTTAAGTGACTCTGAAGATGAGTTCTTTGAACCAGAAGGTGATGCATCAGACAATGTAGACTTGGAAGGCTATCAATTGGCTAGAGACAGGGAAAGAAGAGTTATAAGACCACCTGTAAAGCTTTCAGATTATAGTCAGTTTGCTTTTGCACTTTGTGTTGCAGAAGATATTGATAGTGAAGAGCCAGTTTGTTTTCATGATGCAAAGTTAAACAAAGACTGGGAAAAATGGAATAGAGGCATGTCAGAAGAAATGCAGTCTCTATTGAAGAATGCAACATGGGAGATAGTTGATAGACCCAAAGACCAGAAAGTTATCAGTTGTAGATGGCTGTACAGGAAGAAACCGGGTATTCCTGGTGTAGAACCAGAAAGGTACAAGGCAAGGCTGGTAGCTAGAGGATTTTCACAAAGAGAGGGTATTGACTATCAAGAAGTGTTTGCACCAGTGGTTAAACATATTTCTATTAGAGTATTGATGTCTTTGGTCGTTAGTGAAGACATGGAGTTAGAGCAAATGGATGTCAAAACGGCATTCTTACATGGAGAACTTGATCGGCCTTTATACATGGAGCAACCTGAAGGCTATGAGGTAAACTCTGAGAAAGATCAAGTTTGTTTACTAAAGAAATCTCTTTATGGCTTAAAGCAGGCACCTAGACAGTGGAACAAAAGGTTTAATTCATTCATGCTGAGTCAGAATTTTATCAGAAGTTTGTATGATACTTGTGTGTATGTCAAAGAGGTGAGCCATGGTGAGTATGTCTATCTATTGCTATATGTAGATGAAATGTTGATAGCAGCAAAGAACATGGTAGAGATCAACAAGGTTAAGGAAGTTTTAAGCCTAGAGTTTGAAATGAAAGACATGGGAGCTGCTAGTAGAATATTGGGAATTGATATTCAGAGAAATAGGAAGGAAGGTACACTGGTTTTGTCTCAGGCTAGATACTTGGAGAAAGTGCTGCAGAGGTTCAGAATGAGTGAAGCTCATCCAGTGGATACACCTATTGCTGCACATTTTAAACTTGCATCAATCAAAGATACAAGAGAGTGTGTAGATACAGAGAAAGTTCCTTATGCTAGTGCAGTAGGAAGTATTATGTATTCAATGGTCGGAACTCGACCTGATGTAGCTTATGCGATTGGACTCATGAGCAGGTTCATGAGTAAACCAGGAGAAATGCATTGGGAAGCTGTTAAGTGGGTTCTGCGATACTTAAGAGGATCAACAGATTTGAACTTGGTTTACACCAAAGGAAAAGATTTCAGAGTTCAGGGATATTGTGACTCTGATTATGCAGGTGATTTGGATCGCAGAAGATCACTAAGTGGATATGTGTTTACTGTAGGTGGTAACACAGTAAGCTGGAAATCATGTCTTCAGAAGATTGTGGTTCTGTCATCAACAGAAGCTGAGTATATTGCTCTTACAGAAGCTGTTAAAGAAGCAATGTGGATAAGAGGACTTCTTAAAGACATGAGACTTCAACCAGATAGTGCCATTGTGTGGAGTGACTCTCAGTCAGCAATTTGTCTGTCAAAGAACAATGCTTTTCATGAGAGAACAAAGCATGTGGCTGTAAAGTACTACTTCATCAGAGATGTTATTGAAGCAGGAGAAGTTGAAGTTCAGAAGATTCATACTTCAGTGAATCCAGCTGATATGCTCACTAAGGTAATACTAGTGAGCAAGTTTGAAGCAGCTTTAGATTTTCTAAAGTTGCTCAGGTAAAAGATGAAAGCATCATTGCCAGAGGTTAAGTCCAAGTAGTGCAGTTCATTAGAAGAAGAGGAAAACTTGAATCAAGGTGGAGTGTTGTGATATTGATTGTGATTCAATTTTCAGGTTTGGTCTAAACCGGAGAGATTGAGGATTAATTGATTTCCGGTTAAGCTGGTTATTGATCTTGCAAAATGAGAAGGAGTAAAAGCGTATCATCTACTCGCGATAGAAGATTTGCTGTTAGCATTGGTACTTGGTATAAATACCAAAATTTATTCTTCTTCTTCCTTGTATCGATTCATCTTGTAACAGAAAGTGAGAGAGAGAACCCAGAAAACTCCATTGTTGTAAAGCTCGATATTGAGCTGATTCTTCTTCTTTGATAGTGGATTGCCGGATTGAATCTGGCCCCAGACGTAGGCTTTGTCACATCGACTTAGCTGAACTGGGTAATCAAATCTCGTGTGTTCTTCGTTTCTTTTCTTGTTTTGATTTGTGTTGCGTTTTCGTTTATTCATTCACGTAAAGCATCTGCAATAAGTTCAAGCAAGTTTCACGAAGTAAAGTAGCACAGATTGTAACAAGAAGAGAATTCGAGAATTTGTCCAAAGAAAGATATGAATCCTTTTTTATTTTACAAATATTTAAGCTACTTCACTTAAAATTTATTTCAGTCACGATCAGATCACAACATGACACAATACTTAGTATACTTAAGAAAGGATCCAAAAGCATGAAACGCAATCGTTCTACAATGTAAATGGTTTATAATTTACCTCTACAATTGGATTTTAGACTATCCTCAATGCAAAGGATCTTAAATAAAGTATTTTTTTTGTAAATTTTAGGGTGAAAAATCTTCTAAGATCCTCTACACTGAGGATGTCCTTAGTGTTTCATTGGAGCAGCTTTAAACTTTGTTATCTAATGACAAGTTCTCTCGACTCTCTATGTGTCTATATGGTATACAATTAATTATTGGCTTATCTCAACAAGAAGTTGTGTACATAATTCAAAAACAACCACTTGCTTCAAAAACTTCTACTCCATTTAATACTACTATCAACATATTTTATGCAACAGATTGTATTATCAAGAGACAATATTAAATCTTCCGAGCCTTTTATTCATCTTCTGTTTCCTTTGCTATTTCTATTATATGACTCAAAGTTTGGTAGAAGTTGCACCGCAGTTGCAGAGTACAATATTAACTTCTCTACTGCTTCAAAAACAAAATATTCCCACGTTCATCTCATTATTAACAGTATGGGTTTTGTGTATATTTGAAGTAACATGTAAGGCTGGTGAATAGATTAACGAGAGTTTAACAACAAAAAATTCCTAATAATTATTGGCTAGTCAGTTATGATTAATATCGTCGAACTATAATCTGGTTTGGTTGATAATATTCTTTATGACTTTATTACAATTATTTTAATAGTACGTACGCTCATGCATGTAGCTTCGTAGATATAGGGCATTAATACTAAACCGGCCAACTATTTCAGACCTTTTCTTATAAATAAAAAGATTAAAAACAGTCGTGGATCTATACAAACAGTACTACTATACAATTATTTATTGCTCATTTCCAATGTCTTTTAATTTTAAAAGTTCTGAATCAAAAACTAAACAAGTGGGTTTTGTGCTATTCTCAATGAAGGACTCCATTTGTGGAGCAAACAACAACACAAAAACCCTTAATATAAACCTTTCCTTCTTTAACTTCTCTCCATCTCTTTATCTCATATATAAGCGCACCTCTCTTCTTCAATGTTGCTTTCCCAGCTAGAAAATACTATATAATAGTATTCGTCTTTGGTTCTTCACAAAAAAAAAAAAAGAGAGTCTCGTTTCTCTAGTTGATATTTTGGTCCGAAAACATCCTAAAACTGAAAAGATAACAGTAATGTCGTTGGTTGTTTCTCTTTGCCAAGTTATAACATTATCTTCCTTGTTCTTCCTCGAGGTGTGTCTTGCCGGTAGTATAAAAGTACCGGCGAACTTCGTGTTCGGAGATTCATTGGTAGATGCCGGAAACAACAACTACTTAGCCACATTGTCAAAGGCTAATTATGATCCTAATGGGATCGATTTTGGATCTCCTACTGGTAGATTCACCAACGGAAGAACAATCGTCGATATCGTATGTAAGTAATTTAATAATTACTACCTCTCTTATTTGAATTATCTATATTAACTATACACAAGTTTCCATGCAAATGCAATGGTCAAGCTAGCCGTGTAATATTAAATATTGTATTTAATGTGAAAACATTATACACTCATGAGTTGACTTCGAAACATGTAACAACGTTCTTGCATTTTGGACCGGTTCGTTTTGTTTGGTTCTATTTCTTAGTATTAGCCTTGATAACCGAAAAATTAATTGGTAAACCGCAGATCAAGCATTGGGTTCAGATGAGTTAACTCCACCGTACTTAGCACCAACAACAAGAGGACCTCTCATTCTCAACGGTGTCAATTATGCTTCCGGCGGAAGTGGAATCCTCAACTCCACCGGAAAAATATTCGTAAGCATATTCTTATTTTTGTTTCTTACTTTTCACATATTTATTTTATTCATCGTTATATAAATGTAACTATAGGGAGACCGTATAAATGTGGACGCACAACTAGATAACTTTGCAACCACGAGACAAGACATCATTTCTTGGATCGGTGAATCCGCGGCGACTAATTTATTCCGGTCTGCAATTTTCTCGGTTACAACAGGTTCAAACGATTTAATCAACAATTATTTCACTCCGGTTGTATCAACCGTTGAACGTAAAGTCGTATCTCCTGAAGTCTTCGTTGATACAATGATATCAAGATTCCGATTACAACTCACCGTAAATTAACCTCTTCTATAATTTCAACTAAACCAAACCGGTTTGATCAAACTTAATTTATTTTTATATGGTTTTTGGCAGAGATTGTACCAATTGGGTGCTAGGAAAATCGTGGTGATTAATATTGGTCCCATTGGTTGCATACCGTTCGAGAGAGAGGTCACGTCTGATCCAACGGCTGGAAATGAATGTTCATTCGAACCTAATGAAATGGCACAAATGTATAATCTCAAGCTTAAAACACTCGTTGAGGAATTAAACAAGAATCTACAAGGTTCAAGATTCGTATACGCTGATGTTTTCCGCATTGTTTATGATATTCTCCAAAACTATTCATCTTACGGTGCGTTACTATAACCATTTGATTTTATTTTAACAATGTTACGATTGATACTTATTTTCAGATCCTAATGTATATATCATTTTTGTAGGTTTTGAGAGTGAGAAGATTGCATGTTGTGCGTTAGTTGGGAAAGTAGGTGGGCTGATTCCATGTGGACCGACTTCAAAAGTGTGTATGGACCGTTCCAAGTACGTATTTTGGGATCCTTACCATCCCACGGAAGCTGCTAACATCATCATCGCTCGGCGTCTCTTCTCCGGAGACACCTCCGATATCTATCCGATCAATATCCGGCAACTCGCTAACCTCAAGATAAACGCATGAACCGTGGGAAAAGAACCTCATATATCTATATAGGGTTGTGCTGTTGGTTTGGCGATTAGCGTTTGCGTTTTGATCTAATTACTTTTATTTCTATATTGATGATATGTTCCTTATAACTAATTTATTATAGTATCCTTAGCTAGAACAATCCATATTGTATGGCAACAAGCTTTCATTATAGTGATCATTGATTTTAATTAGAAGATCCTCTAACTTAAAAGTGGTTTAGCTTCTTTATTTATATTTTTTCTAATTTTTAATCTAATTAAGCATGAGAAAACAATAGCTTCTTCATCACACACCATAAAAGATTTCAACCACATAATATAAATTACACAATATAAAAGGTTCAAACACATAAAGTGATAAACAACGCTACAAAAAGTCTAAACAAAACATCAGAACAATTAGTAAACAAGAGTGAAAATATCAACTGCAGGGTGGTTGATAGAATGTGATAGTAATGCATGGTGGAATTCTAAGACTATATTTTAATTTGAATCAGCGGCTTGATGAACATCTCCAAGATATTTCTCAATCATGCGTACGTGACTAATAACATGGATAATTTTTTTCTTGTTAGATGAAATTACCTAAATCGCAAGAATCACTTGTAATGGGCTGTGTTCTCGATGTCACATCTCGAAATTTAAAAAGGAAAAAACAAAAGTTTCTATGAGAAGGTACGTCGTCAATACATTATCAAAGAAAGAAAATAAGTACCAACCCAAATACTTTTATCTTGTTGATATGGAGACATTGTTCATCCAGTACCGACTATACCGTAACTCGAGTCCTAATTGTTGCATGCATTTCGATTCTCTAGCTAGATAATTTTTTTAGCTAAAGCTTTGTCTCTTTTATTCGTTGAGTAACGTTAGCTTGTCGCTCTATGCATCGTCTCGTTCATACTACTTTTTCAATACCTCTCGTAATGGTTTAATTCGGTTCAGCTACTTGTGTAGAAGAAAATCTATTCATCTAATATATACATGACTAGTCCCCTACAAGATTGATGAGATTCCAAAATAAAATTTAAGGATCGACCAAGAATATACTATAGTGAAAGGAATTATGTGTGGTCTAAACTTAGAGATTAATCAAATACTTGGCTGTAAGCCTATAATGGAGACTGTAAGTTGGATTAAGATAATATAAGGAAATTTTACATAATCTAATGATTCTGTGGTGTAGTGGTTATAACGTTTGCCTTACACGCAAAAGGTCTCCAGTTCGATCCTGGGCAGAATCATTTTTTTTAATATACTACTATACTTACAACCAGAAAATAATAAGCAATTTAACCTTAATTGGTAGATTTAAGATGATTATGATTTCATTTTATGGAGTTTTGAGTTATAATATATATCTTACATATTTGTTTAGAATGTGTTCCTGAAGCTAGATTAATCTTGGTCATGTTGAGTTAGATCTTAGACAATTTTATATTCAGAATATGTTCAAGTGAAATGCTTGAACCAAAATCACTAAGAGCTTTACTGAAACTCATTGATCATTTTGATTGCGAAAATAAGTTATTGATGATTAGTGAAATGTAAGTATCATGGAAAAGGATTATACTACAAGAAAATGATTAAGACCTAATGGTTAAGAAATAGTTTTGTTTAAGTTGTATGAACTCCAAAACAAAAGTCTGCTTTTTTTTGCATTTAGCCTTGTTACAATTCAAACAAATTACTTCAATGCTTAGATTCAATAGAGTAATTACATATTTACATGTATAATGTATTATTGGTGAGTTATTTCTTGGTTCTCTGAAGATCGATACACTTGACTAGTCATGTACTTGTTGCACGAGTGATTAGAAATGAATTTAAATGTAATCGTTATCACTATACATATTAGATAGACGTTTAGGTTAAATCATCATGTACATTCTCGACTCTTGTAACTTGTATAAGTTCTATTGCTTACGTAATACTTTTGCAACACTATGAAAAAAACCATTTAGTTTTTGCCCATAAAATTAAATATGTACACTATCTCATTGAAGATCGACCATTTCTTAACCATATTAGTGTGAAATATCTTCTGCTCATTAGAGTTTAGAAATGAACATCTTATAGTTCAATCATTTCTTAAGTATCATTTATTTCATCATAATAAAATTCTCAAGCAAATATGTATCTCTTCCTTTAATCTGGCTTGGAACACAAGTAAGTAACCCTATAAAGCTATTTAAAACCCACGACCGTGGCCTCCTCCCGCACCACCACCAAAACCTCCGCCATGGCCTCCTCCTCCTCCTGCACCGCCACCAAATCCTCCACCAACTCCACCACCATGGCCGCCTCCACCTCCTGCACCACCACCAAATCCCCCTCCAGCTCCACCACCGTGTCCTCCTCCAGCTCCTCCACCATGGCCTCCTCCACCTCCTGCACCACCACCAAATCCTCCACCAGCTCCACCACCATGGCCTCCTCCACCTCCTGCACCTCCACCAAATCCCCCTCCAGCTCCACCACCGTGTCCTCCTCCACCTCCACCACCAAATCCTCCACCAACACCGCCACCATGACCTCCGCCTGCACCACCTCCAAATCCTCCTCCAACACCGCCACCTTGTCCTCCTCCACCGCCAAATCCGCCTCCAGCACCTCCACCATGGCCTCCTCCAGCACCACCACCGAATCCTCCTCCAACTCCGCCACCATGGCCTCCTCCAGCACCACCACCAAATCCTCCTCCTGCACCGCCACCTTGACCTCCTCCAGCACCGCCTCCTAATCCTCCTCCAGCACCACCGCCAAATCCTCCTCCAGCACCGCCACCGTGACCTCCTCCTAATCCTCCTCCAGCACCTCCACCGTGGCCACCTCCAGCACCACCGCCGAATCCTCCACCGGCACCTCCGCCATGACCTCCCCCAACACCACCACCACCTCCTTTTCCACCACCAAATCCTCCTCCAGCACCAGCACCTCCTCCAAAACCTCCACCTCCCAAAGTCTCCTTCTCAAGTCTCCTACATTCCGCAACTCCAATAATGAGCACCACAAGCATTAAACCCAAAAGCCCTAATCGCTTAGAAGCTTTCCCCATTTTTCTTTCTACTCTTATTTTTCAAAGTGTAGTTTCTTTGGTTCAGTGCAATTGGTATACTCACCTTACTCTACTCACTAAATCTATTTATAGGAAGCAAACATGAGCATTGATGAGAATTGGTTGAGGCCTTATTCATCATACACTAGTTTGAATTTCTCATACATTTCCTCATTTCGCAATCTTTGACGATGCTACAATTTTCTTCAGGGTAATAAATGAGAGCTGAACAAGTGTTCCTTTTTTTTCAAATTGTATTTGTTCCTATCATATTTTTTCAACCCTAGATATCACTTTCTTTAATCGTAACAAAACATCTTTAGTGTAGTAGACTAATGTGTAGTGCGCCTGGCTAGAGTTTTTTTTTAATCACCGACTAAGTCAATAGTCCAAATTAAGAAGACTTTATAATTACATTTTGTGTTCTTCGAAATTTCATTTCAAACAAAAAAATGCAATCTATGTATACCTTGATTAATGTCATTTTGACGTAACCCTACACAAGAATTTAAATATGATTATTTCCAAAACTCATAAATATTTCACCAATCCTATATTATGCAGGAATTTTTTTGTTTGAAGATATAATATATACACGAATTTGAAGTTATGCTAACAGTTGTTGTCTTGTCATATACATTATTTATCATGTTTTAAGTTTAAACACATTTGAATTATAGTGTTATTAGTGTAAAACATTCTCAAAAACAGCACCTTATTTATGATATATATTACGGGCGATTGATTTTCTCTGTAAAATGTTATGAACGATCAGTACTACGTAGTAAAATCTATTTTGATTTCTCTCAAACCATATAAAGTAATCCACACTCAACAGTTAGAACCAACCCAAAATGATAGGTAAAGCCTTCATTTTCAATATAATAAGAACAAAATAAAAGATATACTTATTTGTTAAGCGCAATAGAAAACTCGACACATGTACAATAACACACCTTTTAGTCAAACATTTAAAATTTGTCGGCAGAGCATAACTATTGATAACGACGATTTGTGGATGAATATAAACGGCATAATTAATTATATAAAACAAAATAAAAGAAAAAGAAACTGCATGATTAGGATAAACTCATAAAAGATGAAATGTTTATAACCCTAATGGTGAAGTAGTTGGTTGGGACGATGGAAAAAGAAAAGAGGAATCTCAATTAATTTCACTACCAGCCTTACCCTACTAGTTTTCAAACCTTGTTGAAATTATCGTCAGTTTGTATTTTGTTTTCTAACAATGATATACTCTTTTGATTTGTTTATTCTACAACTCATACATGGTACATGGTAGAAAAAAAACAAATATTAAACTTGGACAGTAACATTAATAAAAAAAAAACTAAATTGGAAATCTTGAGTCTTTTTAGTTAATACGTTGTCATCTTTTATTTGTTCTAGATTCGAAGTTTTGTTTTGTTTGTCATTTTTTTTGTTATTTTTTTTGTCAAATTGTTTCTTTGATCTCTATGACCTTTATAAGTCATAGATTCGTAGTTTTGCTTTAGAACATAGCTGATATTGTTTAATCGTTGTGACGTTATGTGATGACGAGTATATTATGTGTGTGTGTGTGTGTGTGTGTGTGTTAGTTAGTGTTAATTTTAAGAATGTAAAAGGTTTAGCTTATTTAGCAATTGGTTTTCAGATTGAGGCTTAAATAATATTTGGCAGAAAAAGGAAAAGAGCAACCGGAGAGATCGGCGATGGCTCTCTCTTACGAACATTAAGGTTTTATTATTGATTTTCCTATTTTCAGATCACTGTTTATATTATTCCCAATTGCACGATGATAATAATATAGACATGCCGGTATGGATTTTACAGGCAGATCTATCTAGACGACGTAATGAAGGAAATGGGGGTTATAAATGCCTTCAGATTCTCAATCTCATGGTCTAGATCAGTCGTACCAAGTAAGTAATGTACATGTTTCTATTAATAGAAACTGCTTATTTACTACTACAACAACAATCTCATTAATGTACTAAATGTTAGGGAATATGTTTACGTGTTGCATGTTTCAGACGAGTTATATACTGTAAGTCAGTTTGTTTGTTTTTTTTTGGTTTTGGATATTCTGATTTAAGTTAATTACCTTTTCGTTACCATGCAAACAATGAATCCTTGCTTTGTTGGAATTACCACACGTCTGACAAAATGGTTGAGTCATAACCAAAACCGCCGTAAGCGTCGAATTTGGTAAAAACAGAGCTTCAGAACACAAAAGGAACTTGAGCAGACATTTCAAACTTAAGGAGATATCTTAAAAGGTAAGACAATTCTGAAATCAAGAGTGCCAACGAAGCCGAATATATTGATTTCCCCTAACTACTCTGATGACAATTCTGAAACTTTGTTTTTACTCTTAACGCTCAAACGTTTTCAAAATCAGTCTTCTATCTCTATATTACATTATTGTGATCAATGAGCTCCCATCACATTCTATGAGACTATAACAATATACAGCGTATGAAAACTACTCTTACATTTATCCAGCTAGCGGCAAAACATCACGCTTCCTTCTAAACCTACCTGGAACAGAGTCAAAACTTTCACCACCAATCACTAAGAAGGCATCATCATCATCACAGGAACCGGTAGTTCTATAACGATTAGGAAATAAGAACGTTCAAATTCCCTTATGTATTGAACCTCTCCGTTCATCAGTTTCAGAATCTTCCTGCAAACGCTTAGCCCTAATCCTTCTGGACTCGTCCATCGGCTACTATGGAACATGTCCTGCACGATCTCCGGCGGTACACCTTCCCCTGCACACGCCATTCTAAACAAACATTGACAAATTGAGTTAAGAGTGTTTGTTGTTAGCTAATCAATCATTGATAAGGCTTTAACATTTAAAATTTGACAACTCTCTTGGTCCAAGACTGCGTTTTTTGTTACCACTCTAAAGCTTCTTAATGCAGGATGGCTACCAAAAACTAAAGCTTATCCGCAGTAGTCACATTTATTAAAAAGAAATATCATAAGTGGATGGATTTATTCACGTTTAGCTTTGATCTCAGACCAGAGTAATGATAGAAAGTACCTAAACTCCAAGCGTATAGCAGAGAACCCGTCAGCCATTTGTTTCAGAATCGGGGATAGATGGAACTCCACTGAGCCTTCCATGGGTGCATAACGGATAATACTTAGCAGAAATTCTCCCAGAACTTGTTGGATTCTTATATGGTCACCGTAGACAGCCATAGATTTGATCTCCGTGGGAATGTTACGGATCAGCTGAAGATTTCTCTCTCGGGCCACCAACATGACTTGGCTTACCACTGCGTCTATGACTCTGCCAATGAAGAACTCGTTTCTCTCTAGAACAAATGAACTGATGAGCAAAAATAGAGGTTTTTTGTTTAGTAGTGAGAATGAACCTTTATAAAAAAAATTAAGTGAGTTTAAATACGAATCAAAACTCTCACCCATCTTCAAGGCTTTTGACGTCCATGTCTCCTACAATCTTTGAGATCTGCTTCTCGCATGAAACACTTGTTTCAAGAAGCTGCTTCTGATCTTTATTTAAACCTGTGGCTTCTAGCAATGAATTTGTGTAACGCAAACCGCTCAATGGATTCTTTATAACATGATTTATGTACGCCAACTCTTTCCTCCTCGAGATGCATTCGCTCTCCTGCCTCCTCTGGACTTCTAGAGCTTGTTGCAGTTCGGGACTTGGTATCTGCAAGAAACAGAAAGCCCCAATGACTTGACCATCTAGGCTGACCCGTTTGTTTAAAGTAAGGAGAGCCTGAATGAATTTCCCTTTGCGGTCAAAGAAAGGGAATGGGAATTTTTCTGTTTCTTGGCCACTGATAGCATTATGCAAAACGATCATGAACTTAGTTAACGCATCAGGACCCTTCAGTCTGCAACAGCTCCCAAACACTTCTCTAACAAGCAGTTTTCCAATGACTTCGCTGCGAGGCCAGCCTGTGAGCTTTTCCATTGCAGTGTTCCACTCAAGGCAGCATATATTCTCATCCGCTGCAAAGATTGGAGGGATCAAAGGGTTTGGGCTATGGATGATGGCCTTGTAGTCACCTTGTATGTTGACGAACTTGTCCATAACAATTTTATGACCAGTTACATCTTGTCCAACAAAGCAGACCCCAACGATGTTGTTTAAGTAGTCCTTGCTTGAGCATGAGTTGACAACCACAAACACCGCTTTTCCTTGTAGCTCAGGACCAAATGTTTGCAGCTTCACCTCCACATTCTTGCTTTCATCCCCTGCATCATTGAAAATGATATGCATTATAAGAATCTGCAAGTTAGAGCCCTGCTTAGATTGAATGTTTAAGGAGCTATATAAACCTTTGAGAGCACAAGAAAGAAGCCTATCAACTGTTTCTTCATACTCTTTGTATATCAAATCACGAACCAGAGACTTTCCCATAGCTTCTTCAACAGAAAGACCGGTAAGCTCCGCGATCTTCGCATTCCACCCATTAATGCAGCCGTCAAAGTCCACAGCAAATATAGGGACCGTCGCAGTCTCAATTAGTCTAACCATCTCTCTTGCAACTGCACCTATCTCTTGCATCCCTTGCTCTGCCATAGCCTCACCATGTGGCTGAAGAGCCCCAGCTGCAGCAGCTTTAGAGTCCATTGCTTCGGACTCTTTGAAAGAGTCTCTCAGAATAAGCTGGAGCGAGTGAATGGCGTCCATTTCAGCAGTTTCCCATGGCTGACATTGGCTTTTAACAACTTCGAGAAAAGCCTGGAACGAAGAACGCGGATGCATCCGCTGGCCATCATCCTTGTCCTCGGGATGGTGCTTAGCCCCTCCCCATTTGATTTCTTTCTCGGTATGCGATCGAAACCAGAAAAGGAAGTCTCTTTTTGTGATATACGCAACTGCCATACCACACACAGCATCTCCCAAAGCAGGTGCCCCAGGATAACCTGCATCGACTAAACTATCTGTGCTTAACCCGGTTGAATCAGAATGGTTAGCAAGCACCCACTTCACAATGTCATTTATCTGAGCCTCAGTCGGAGCCACGCCCAATGGATAATACTTCCCTTGGTAAAGAAATGCCGCGCCATTACATTTTACTAAATCCATGATACTAGGCTTTTGCGTGACAATCCCCGCGGGTGAGTCACGCAATAACATATCACATAACAGTGTCTGCATTCTCAGAACACGTTTTTCAGACACCTGCAAGGCTAACTGCAACTCCATGTTTAGCTGTAAGCCAAAGGCCTGCATAAGAAACTCGCAAGCATACCTCAGAGGAAAAGGTATGCAACGAGCCGAGGTGTGATGGCAAACGACCAAACCCCAAAGCCTCATCGAGTTTCGCCCGCCAGTATTAACACCATTACCGTCTTCTTCGTTTCCATTTATTATAACGGCCATGGCTAACGACGCAATAGAGCCCATGTTAGCCATGTATTGAGCATGACAACCATGAGGAGCTCTTAGAGTCGAACCCACCAAACATATAGACTGCGTCAGCCTATCATCTTGGACCACACGAACGGGTGACGCATGGCAATCTACAATCATCCTAACACGGTTCTGCTTGAACAAGAACCTAGATGCCTGAGGAATATCAGTAGCAGGATAATGCAGACCGATGTAAGGTTCTAAATCATCCCGTTTACTCTCCGCAACTACTTCGCCATGTTCATCTTCATGAAACTTATACACCATAACGCGGTCGTAGCCAGTAAGATCTCTAACTCTGTCCACAACAGTGTCACATAGAAGCTTGATGTCTCCACCAGGCAACGATTGTAAATGAGAAATCGCACGGACTGCGAGTTTCTGCGATTGCACTGCACCAGCGATTGAAAGAGCCGGGTCCTCGGTTCTAGCTGGCTCTAGATCAATCAAAATTCCAACATCAACCCTGTGTAGAATCGCATAAAAAGGTTTACCAGTGTTCTTAGAGTGAATCCAAACCGGATTCAGTAACGTGATTTCTCGAGCCACGAACGCGCGTTCAAGGAGAACGATGCTCGATGGCTTGAAGAGAGTACGCAAATCCGTGCCGATCGTTAGAACCTCGGATTTCTCATCGATGCTTGGAACAGATTGAGACATGAGCCCAAGCATTTCCCGCGCATTTTCACTGTACCCGATGATTGTAGAGGTTGATTCTTCGACGGCGATCAAGCAACCAAAAGGCTGGGTATAGCCACCGCGTTGGATCCGTGAGAGATAAGCAGTGATTTGCTGCTCCGGTACAGAAGAATCGTACGGTGCCGTTTTAAGAGACTGTGTGTAGTCGAACGATTTGCCGGATTCTCCGGATTGCTCGAAGACGGCGTGGAGTCTGGCGTCGACTGTGAACTGTTGAATAGCTTTGCTCACGGAATCTGTTACAGAGAAACTACAATTTCTCAGATAAGAACAATTGAATCGATTAATTGAATCGTCGTTCATGAAACGAGAATCCAAATCTCATGTGATAGAGCTTAGAAGAAGAAACAGCTCTAACAACAATGAAATATCAAACCCAGAATTTACAGAGAGAATCGAAGAAGAAGAAGATAACAAACTAACAATATTTTTCTGGTTAATCTCCTCAAATGATCGATACTCTGCTTTATATCTTCAGCTCTCGATCTCTTCTTCACAAACTCCTCTAGCCAATAAACGTCTCCCACGTGTCCAGCAACTTGTTTCCTTCTCACGTGCCACACGTGCCATTCTTCTTATCTCTTTTCCTGTATCAGAATCCGTTCCGCCGCCGTGGTTTTGGGGCTGATGATTATGTGACCTAAGTGCTCTGCTTGCCGAAGACTGAGCTTGTTCTCCGCTGGTGTGACGGCGACGATTGACGCCACGATGACTTGACGAAGCTGCCTCTCCGCCGTTGGTTTTGCTGCCACCTCCGGAGACCATTTTCTTACTTACTCGTTTCGAAATTTCGTAGAATTACAGTGAAAGGCGGGAAACCCGAAATTGAGTAGAAAACCAAAATATCCAAATATAGTTTCAAATAACCAGATTATTAGTTATACAATATTTAGATTTGATAAAACAGAAACCAATTTGAATTTTATTTGGGCTCTCCCAAGACCAATCAAAACGAAGCAGAAGAGGTTGTGAAAGGGTAAAGAAGAGAAGACGATGCTGTCGTTTTCTTTTGTTGATTTGACTCCCTTGTTTATTTCAATTTCAAGAACAGATTTTTAGACAATTATTAAAATTTAATAAACTAAAATTAATTACAATCTATATTAACATTTTTAAAGACAGTTATGAAAAAACCCTCACTTAGCTCACTTATTTACAAGGTCCTGCCATTGGCTTTAAATAACTATTCTCTAATATTTCTAAAATTTGTTTCCACGATTATTCAACAAATTTAATTTATAGGATCCCTAAAAATTAGCTGATTTGCGAGCTGAATATTCTGAGATTTTCGAAATGATTTTTCACTTATAGCTTTCAATTATTTAATGATTTCTATAATTTTAATTTTTCAGAATAAATTCTCTTTGATCGCCGAAGATTCGGTTACCTAATCATCCGTTTCTAAAAATCATTATAAATACTTCCGATTACTCTCATCTCAAACTTACCAAAGCAACGTCCCAGTCTAAACAATAATCGATCATCTCTTCTTCCCAGTGGAGAGAGATCCAAAAAGAAAATGAAAATATCGATTACTGAATCTCATCTTCATTGGCATTAGATTGGAATTGGTAATCAATTCAACAGAGATGGATGTTGGTTTTGATTACTGAATTTGATGGATGAAGTTCTCAATTGTATATCAGATTTTGCTTTTTAAGCGTGTGATATGGGACCTCATAAGGAAAAACATTTTTGTTTGGTCAGTTATGTATGTTTGACTTTTTTTTATTTTTATTTTTTTTGAATAGCTAATTCTCTACTAATCCTTCAAAATGAAAAATCTTATAACTTATGGCAATTTGTTTTAGGCAAATCTATATATATTCTTTTAAGTTCTCAGTAAAATAAAATGTATTCTTAACACACATATTATAAGTTCCAAAGTTACATAAGAGATAGTAGACTTTCAAGCTATTTGTTCGCATATGTTGCAATTTAAATTATTTAAAACAGACATACATTACATTTCCCATATGTACTTTCAATTAGTAATTTTAAAAAATATATGAATTAAGATAAATATGAAAAGTTTTTAAAAGTTTCAAAATATTATTAGTATTCAAATTTTAAAACTTAAATTATTATGAATACTGAAACTTTTACAAGGTGTCGAGGTTCAAATATTATAAATATTTAAGCTTTATAGAATGTTTAAATATTCTAAATTTTTTTTTATAAAATAAAATTTGAATTATTATTAATATTATAAAGTTTGAAATGTTATAAATCTTTTGTAACTTATTAAAAGATGAAGGGTTAATAATATTTAACTCTACATCAAGTTTAAACTAAAGTATTATTAAATTTTCCCTAACTTTAAATATGAGTTGAATTTTTCGGTGATTATCAAGTTGAATGACGAAACAACAAGTTGTAAGACTAGAATGATTATTAACAACATACAATGTAAAGTTTAAAATATTTTAAAAGTTGAAGTGTTTTTTTATATTTTAAATTTGTACCAAATTTAAATTATAGTATTATTAATCTTGCCATAATTTTAAATATGGACTTAATTTTTCCATGATTAAATGACGGGACGGGTTGCAAGACGAGAAGGGTCACGTTGTAACATGCTTCCAACGAATTATATGACGGGATTGGTGGTATGAAGGGATTGGTGGTACGACGAGATTGGTTGTAGAGTACATATAAAGTTTAAATTATTAGAAATATTTTTAAAAAAATTAAAAGTTTTAGTGCTATTAATATTTTTAATATTCACCAATTTTAAACTAATGTATTCTTGACCTTGTCATAACAAACTGAATTAAATTTTGACGATTATATGACTCGACGAGATAAAAGACGGGATGGATTGTAATATGCTTATAAAAATTATATGATGGGACAAGTTTGAATTGATAATACTATAAAATTAAAATCTCACTAATCTCATATGTCAAAACGGGTAAAATATTTATACGTTAATATGTCAATACTATAAAATAAGAATTAGAAAAAACGTTTGCCCCGCGGTGTACCGCGGGTTAAAATCTAGTTTTGGCGTAACTTTTTTTTTTTTTTTTGGTATCAAGTTTCGGCGTAATTTTAACTTTCGTTGTCTGTTCTTTTACGAGGGACCGAGACACGTGGGTTTTTCGAAAACTCCCGGCTAGTGGGGCGCACGAGGGACAAGAGGGGCGATCGATATATGTGGACCTATGGTTGTGACTTGTGAGAGTCTCCCCAAAGACCAAGGGTGGTGTATCTATCTGAAGTGGGATTTGATAAAATCTTCTACCAACGTGTCCATATATTGCATCACTAACATTTCATCGATTGATCTTCCAAGTTTCTTTTTATATTAGAAATATATGAAGCGGCAATAATGTGGAATCTCAGTTACGGATAGATTTAGGTGTAGCCGCAAACCGTTATAAATGTTTATGCTACGTATCCAATTACTATCCATCATTTGTTTCGTATATATTACAAAAAAACAAGTATTGAGTTTGTGACGTTAAGTAGCTTTTGAAACCGTTCCGGTGCACATGAATAAGTGATGGCGCACACACATCACACATTGATCTAACACGAGTTTTTCAACACATGGATCAAATACCCTGCATAATTAATTCATTACTGATTTCCCTATTTCACAGTCGTATAGGCTTATATAAACACTTCCTGCTTCGCGTTCAGGGTTCACGATTCGTCCATAAACACAGCGGCATGACCACTTGATCTTACGAACTTCTTCAGCAGGAGAACCACAATCGCAATCGTGAGTCCAACCGCTGCCCACGTTAACAGCCTGTCATCACCCACTCTTTGAGCTGTCCTGACAACAGAGGTATGTTGCTCCTGCCGCCTCACCAAACCGTTTCTGCTATCTCCGTCTGTAACTTCTAATGCTGCATTCCCCCCTGGAAGAATAGTCTGAGCTGCCTCTTCAGCAATTTGATCAGCTACACTCTCTTCCGCCACAGTATCAGGTTCTGATATAACCGTTGCAGCATCCTGCGGCTTTGTTAGGGACTGACCATCTGAATCAGCCAAAGGCGTTTTGTTACATTCTTCAGGATTAGGTTTGGGCGCAGAGGGTATCTTGGTGAGCATATATTGATGTATCTGTATATATCAATCAAAAAGGCCATGGTCAAATATAACTTTTATGTCCGGATTGTAAATAAGCTATAGTTAACCGTGTCAAAAGTGTACATAGGTAGTACTATTTCAAAATTAAATGATATTCTTAACACTAGTTTTGGTTAATATATAATAATATTTCCAGCAATTGTATCTTTTCAAGTTACTAACTTTTAAAAATTCATTGCTATATGTTCATTTTGCTTCAAGATCAATTTCAGTAATTGTAGCATCTTAGGATCAATATCTAACAAAAATTTAATGAGAAATAGCATAACAATTTTGCATTCCAAAACCTAAACCCATTTAGGATGAAGAGCTCTCCATGTTGTTTATTCAAAAGAAAGTATATCCACATATCCAAATTATTGGTTCAATAATCAAAAGCATTATGGAAATGTAACCAGATTCATATCTCTCCATAGAAAAAATGTGCATAGTGGATCAAAATTCAAACATTGCTCTGAAGAAAGGATGATACAGTGGAGTACCTCATCAATTAGTTTTTGGCGCTCAGGAGAACCATATTTGGGTGGTGACTCTCGTGATTTAGTGGCTAGTGCACATCTCTCCTCCTTTGGATAATCTACTGAGCCTAGTGCTCCATTAGGCTTTGAAGGCATGAACGCAATGAGAGCCGTCAAAGCAGTCCGAACTACAAATAAGCAAGAACAAAAATCATGAATGGAAGTTGCTGATTATACTCAACCTCGTAAAGTGTTACTGTTCACATATAAAAAACTGATCGATTCGGTGTATGTTAAATTGTTTGGTTCAGTCTTTCATAACATGTTTGGAAATTGATAGCTGAAGAAGGTCACTTTAAAAGTTTATGACTTTACCACTCCATGATGGTTGCCAATGCTCAGGATGGTAATCAGAAATGCTCAAGCAAATCTTTGTATTGGTTTCAAAACGACCACTAGGCTGAAACAAGAGCAAAATCATTCGTGAGAAAGATATATAGCCCCCTTTAATTTTTGCTTTAAAGAACAGAAGACAGACAGGCTAAAGAAGAGAAAGAATCCTTACGGTCAATAACATGAATGCAGGAGGTTTGAAAGGATAGTCTGCAGGCAACTGAATCCTCCCATGATAAATCCCACCTTCAAATTCACTATCACTAGGACCTCGGATCGCGAACTGCCACTCAAATATATTCTCCTGAAGTTAGAACAGATAGAACCAACGTCAATAAACATACCATTGAAAGCATACCAAATTAGAAGAACAAAAACGTTGATCAAGTCTCGAGATGACCACAACTAGAAACAATATATGGAACTGATAGATACGAAACCCATAATTCAAATCGGGACACATAAGAAATTGAACCCTTAATTGAAAAAAAGAGAGGAGGAGGAAACGAGGATCGTGTTTTCGAAATATGTATGTACCTCGAGGGGAAGAGACATGAAATCATCAGAAGGATTAGCTTGCATCTCCTTAACCTCTTGCAAAATCCTCTTCACCGCCGGATTCTTCCGGTTGAATCTCTCATCCGCCATTGTTTATCACCGACCACCGCCAAATGTATGTTAACAAAAATAACTTAACTACCCAAATCCAATTAAGGAATAAATAAAATCTTTATTAGCCTCTCACAAATATCAATGGTTCACCACGTCATCGTCCTTCAAAATCTATTACGTGACAACCGTTGATTGGCCCTCTCAGTTTTTAATTGCCACGTCATCTGCGATCATTCGTTTTTCACATATTTAACAGGCCTTAATCCAGAAACACTAAGCCCATCAAACAAATTTTAATAAAATCTAACATCTGAGCATTTGATAATTTTTAATTAACAATAACAAATCTCAAATAGGAGAACATAAAAGTATTCATAATAAATGAACATCAATTATGCAATTAACTTTTTTTTTATTCAAATTTTGTAGATATTTTTGAAAAAGATAGTCATATAAGATATTATAAAGGAATCCCAAAATAAATTAGGCAGAGATTTATTTTCATCTTTTTATTCATTATTTCTAATCATATTTTGAGATTTAATTACTTGTTTATTACAAAAACAAATCATATGGTTTTTTTGTAAGAATTTTCTAAAATGTTATAGAAAATGTTTATTTAAGAGTTCGATTTGGCATATTGTCTGAAAAAACTATATGAAAATGAACAAAGTTGAGAAATACGACTATCTTGACTGAATTACAACAAAAGATTATCAAAATAAAACTATAGAATAAATATATTATGTATAAACGTATTTTAGAATCGTAATAAAAAATGGTAATTTTAATATTTTGATCTCCTACATTATCAAGTGATTTCCTAAATATAGATAGTAGTGACACTAGAGTGGATTATTAAAAAAAAATATATACTCAAATTGCCAATGATCCCAAATGATATTTTGTACAGAAAAACATCATGATGAGACCGATGATCTTGAACATTTGTATCACCTAAAGATAGTTTTTGGTATTCAATTTAATATTTTAAATCAAGCTATTGTTCATTGAGGTAAAAAAAAATATTGGCAAATTGAATTCCATACATGATATAAAATTATATGTTTAGAATTGACGATCATATATTGGCAACTCACATATGAAATGGCTAGATGATTTATATAGGCAAATGAAGGGAGTGTGGGAGTATGAGTTTAAAGATCAATCGATGCCTTGACAATGAGGCGTCGGAGCAATGTGTGTGATACGCATGATTCAGCGTCTAGAGCGTTAAAGGGGTTTTTAGCTTTATGAGATCTCTTTTTGTCTCTCTTTCTCTGGTCTTTAGGGTTTTTGGTGAAGTTTTATGAAAACGAAGCTGTAAAACAAATGAAGGGAGTATGGGGTCGTTTTCAATTTTCGTACAGTGTAAATGTGAGTTTTTTAATAGGAAGATAGAAAAAATAGGTCTGGAACGGCTTGGATTTAAGAATGTACAAAATATTCGGCAATTGTTTATGTTTTTAGTTCACATCATTAAAATCTAATAATTTCCTACAAAAAAATTTGATAATTAAAATCCAATAATTAATCTCCTCTGACATAGTGACATAACAAAACAGTTAACTAATTTGTTTTCTTACGTTAATCTAATTCAAAGCAAATTAATAATGAGTTGCTATGTATAGAAATTTATAGATAAAAGTTGTCTGATATTGTACAATATAGTCGACCTCGATAAGATGAACAAAATTTCCTTATCTTTACAACCCTTCAACTTTGGATAAAGTTAGAAGCTAGCAAACTGGTAAATATACATTAGAGTATACTGTAAAAGTTAATTTGGCATTGTGTGATACCATATTTACATACAGTAAAATCGCTATAAACTAATACTCGATAAATTAATAATCTCGATAAATTAATAAATTTCTCCGGTCCCGGTTCCAAGTTGGGACCATTGTAATTTTAGACACATTTCGATAAAAAAATAAAATGAGAATTTTTTGTAAATCTTTTATAAATATATGGTCTCATCAATATTATAAATTAATAATTAGGTTAAATTTTCAAAATATATTTATATATAGGCACATTACTTTTTGTTAGAGTTTATTTCTAATATTTTACTATAAAAAAATGTTAGCATTCTCTTTCAAGATAAAATAATAATTTTTTTTTTTTGTAATTAATTATATAAAATACTAATTATCATGATTAAATCTTATTTTTTAAATATTCTTTTGAAAAATCTTTCCAAATTAGGAAAAATCTCTATAAATTAATAATTATCGATAAATTAATTTTTTATAGATTAATAAATTTTTATGGTCCTAATATTATTAATTTATAGAGGTTAGTCTAAGTATTCACAGTAAGAAAGATGTGGAATATTCTAGAAGCATGCACTAAAGCAAACGTGTTAGTTCTTCTCCGGACTGCGAGTCAATCCCTCTTGAAGCAGATTAAATATTAGAGTAAAAACTAAAAACTATTAATTATACATGTAACGTGTTAGTTCTTCTCCTTAGGCATGACCAAAAGCTAACCTTAACCGTATTTTTAATCGTAACCGGATCGTTTATCAATCGTAACCGGATAAAACGGTTAAAAAATATAAACATCAACCGTACAAGCAAATTAGTTACGGTTAAAAAAATACTAACCGTTAATTAACCGTAATTGTAATAAACTGTCAGTTAACCGTACGATTAAACGTTCGGTTAACCACACATTTAAATCCTTAAAATAAATTATATTATAACGATATACAATAGAAAAACAACAAATGTTTGGATAAAATTTTAACCTTATTAAAAGCAATACAACAAATTGAACCCGTAAGTATTCAGTATTCATTTATGTTAACAAAAATAACTTACCTACCCAAATCCAATTAAGGACTCTTTATTAGCCTCTCACATGGTTCACCACGTCATCGTCCTTCAAAATCTATTACGTGACAACCGTTGATTGGCGCTCTCAGTTTTAAATTGTCACGTCATCTACGAATACTCGTTTTTCACGTATTTAACGGGCCTTAATCCAGAAACACTAATTAAGCCCATCAAACAAATTTTAATAAAATCTAACATCTGAGCATTTGATAAATTTTTATTAACAAACAAAAAAACTCAAATAGGAGAAATTAAAAGTAATCATGATAAATTCGACCAAAAAAAAGTAATCATGATAAATGAACATCAATTATGCAATTGACTATATATTTTTTTATTCAAATTTTATAGATATTTTTGAAAAATATAGTCATATAAGATATTTTGAAGGAATCCCAAAATTAATTAGTCAGAGATTTATTTTCATCTTTTTATTTATTATTTCTAATCATATTTTGAGATTTAATTACTTGTTTATTACAAAAACAAACCATATGGTTTTTCTGTAAGAATTTTCTAAAAGGTTATAGAATTTTTTTTTTAAGAGTTCGATTTAGCATATTGTCTGAAAAAACTATATGAAAATGAATAAAGTTGAGAAATACGACTATCTTGACTAAATTACAACAAAAATTTAACAAAATAAAACTATAGACTAAATATATTATGTAAAAACATATTTTAGAATTGTAATAAAAAATGATAATTTTAATATTTTGATCTCCTACATTATCAAGTGATCTCTAAATATAGATAGTGGTGATCTCTAAATTACTTGACTTGACTAATGATAGTGGTGACACTAGAGTGGATTAATAAAAATATATATATACTCAAATTGCCAATGATCCCAAATGATATTTTGTACATAAAAAAACATCATGATGAGACCGATGGTGTTGAACATTTGTATCACCTAAAAATAGTTTTTGGTATTCAATTTAATATTTCAAATCAAGCTATTGTTCATTGAGTAAAAAAAAAAATATTGACAAATTGAATTCCGTACGTGATACAAAATTATTTTTTCAGAATTGACGATCATATGTTGGCAACTCACGTAAGAAATGGCTAAATGATTTATATACGGAAGGTCTTATTTTAAAAATAGACATTTGTTCAAACGTATGATTATGTAACTTTATTTCTTATTTGGAATTATTATGTATGGGAATATGGGATTATCTCTCCCAAACATTGATATAAATCTCAGATGAGCTTACATATAATAATATTCATTACTCAACCGCCGTACCAGCTCTCACGGCGGAGAACGTGATAGGAAACTTCGGCTGTTTATTAGGGAAAAACAAACCAAAGTTCTTCTCAATCTCAGGACTCTTCTGATTCTCATCAAACATAGCGAACAAATACGTCTCCACTCCTCTTCCTGGTCTCTTCGGCGTTCCTCTGTTCTCTCTCACTCGGGCCGCAAGATTCGTGTAATACGCACGAGCGTTGTCGAAACTCGCCGCGTTTCCTCCGTTCGAAGGCCATCCGCTCTCGGAAACAACCACGGGAATAGATCCGCCGCCTGATCGCTCTACAGCGGAGTAAACTACGTCAAGCAAAGCGTCAAAGAGGTTTTGGTAGCCGCGAGAGCCGTCCCATACGACGACGGAAGGTGAAGTGAAGAGAGCGTAAGATAGAGATATGTCTCGTGGATTGCCTACGTAGCTGAAGTAAGGATAGATGTTGGCAAGTAACGCTGAGTTTGTACTCGTTAGAAACCTACGTAAGAGGAAAATGATTAAGAAACTTAGAAAAGTAACTATTAGAAATCAATATTTATCAAATAAAAAAAAAACTATAAGAAAATTATTTATTAAAGAGTTAAGTGAATATATTTACCCGATGATGGGATCAGTATACCACCTAACGTCACCACGAAACTCTCCGGAGGAAGGAGGGAAAGAGTTACCAATCAAGGTCATATCAATGGCCGTAGACACTTTAATACGATCTTGAAGATTAGCACCTCTTAGAGCATCGTAAACGTTACGCATGGCAGGGAGCACAAGATCTCCACCGTTCCCGGGAGAGACCTCGTTACCGACGGAGATGTACTTGAAGCTAACGGCGGGGTAATAGTTAAGGACGTTGTTTTGGAGCCAAGACCTAGCGGAAGAAGGGTTAGTGAGTGAACGGAGATCGGAGTTTGGAACGCCGACGATGACTTCGATGCCGGAGTTTTTGAGAGCGTTTAAAGCGGCTTGGTTTGGGTCGTAGAGTCTAACACGTCGTATGTTTTTTTCTCTGAAGAGAGCGATTGTGTCTGAATGTGAAGGAAGGTTGTTCCCCATCATTCCATAGCATACACCTACTGGTTCTCCACCTGTAATCATCATAAAAACATAACTTAGTTTACAATCTATAAGTTAAAATGAGAATATATATCTAAGAGAATCATGTAGGATTAAAGAAGGATACTTGTCGGATTGAAGATGGATGTGAAGAGAGCAACAAGGAGAAGTAATGGGGTTATTTGTGACATCTTGAACAGTTTTAGATTTAGTGTTGTCGTGTTTTAGCATTTTGTCTAATTGGATTTGTTCTTTATATACTAATTAACTTCGGTACGTACGTAACTTTTTTTAATCTATTTAGATGGATGCGTATAGGTTGTGTTATAGTATATATATATTAAAAAATTGAGTGACAAGTATATTTGTTTATTAAACCAAATTGTATTATTCATTAGTCAAGTCAAGTAATTGAGTACATAGCGTTAGTTTGAGTGCAAATATATGGTCAATTTATCAATCTATGCAATTGGGTAGAGAAATATATTTTTCTAACTCAGAGAAATTAAGACATTGCTTATGTTTTCTAAACATTGACAAAATCAACATAACTATAAGTGTTCTGTTTTAATTTATTTGGCTATAATTGATTACTAACAAGACATATCTACTTCGTAAAACAACTTCACCCACAAAAATATAACATTTGATGATATTTTGTTTTTACGTGTAAACAACGTCTAACTAGTGAAATGTATAGCATCTCCTACTCGCTGGCCAACAAAAGGATAAGGTCCTAATCAGTGTCATTGAATCTAGTATAATTCCACTCATGAGTTAAATTACGGATTATTTGACTTTGTGGTGGAACAAGTTGGCTATTTAGCTACCTCATATATGATTACAAAAAAAAAAAAGAAAGAGAAACTTCAAACTATGATAATGTTACTACTTCAAATTGTGGATATTATATTTGAAAGCAGCCCTAATCATCAAAATCGGGTAGTATATAACATCATTAATCTTGAACATAACACTTCAAATTAAATAATCCTTAGATTAACAATATTGATTAAGTAAACACAACATTATAGTAATAATTTTATGTGGAAGATTAGATATGTGAATCTTAAGTATATAATATCACACGTTATTGCAAAGTTAGAGCAGCCGGCGGCTTAGACTAATCTGACGATTTCAAGTTTCCACGTATCCATGGATAACGACGAATTTTTGAATCAGTCCCCCAGATACCAATGAATTTATAATTAGTGCCAATTAAAAATCGAAATGATCATAAAAGACCCTGAAAGTTCAATAACCCGAGAACATTCCCAACAGTGATCATATTTGTACACATAAAACTCCAAATTCAATGTATGAACCTCTTAAAGAGGAGCTCAATAACACGTTGCATTTGACCAAAAATGTAATCTTCGATAGGTTTATTCTCTCCAGCGATGACTACAGTTCGGGTTGCAGCATACGAAAAACAGAGTCATTCCTTCCTCCCCTCTAGCCGTGGCCTGCAAATTCAATGATACACACAAGCTATATAAAAACTGAACCGCCAGATATGGAGTGAAGAAGTAGCATGACCATATTAAAGTTAAAGAAAGATATATCTTTGATTTTTGAGTTATATCAGAGAATGAAGTTATGTTTTCTTGATGAGGGTTTAATGATTAGGCTTTAAGATAATGATTTACCTGGAAGAAGACAGCTTCACCGTGTTGACACTTGGCACAACGCACGGCCTTGGTACGTGGAAGAGTAGGGTCGGAAGCGACGTCGGATAGGATCTGAGTCTGTTCACTTACAGAGTGATGAACCTCGTTTCTGTAAACACAGTTGTTATCCGCTGCTTCCTGCAAAACCAAATGCTCAGAAAGAAAATAAACTTCAAGATCTTGTAAATTTCGTAGCAACAGGAGTACAGGACAGTAACCTAGCTAAGCTAACAGTATGTTGATAACTAATTCAGTTAGCAAGTCCGGTCTTAAGCTTCACAGATTCATATGTGATCTCTTGGTTCTCAGAAGCTAACAAAGGCTTAATGATTTGTATCAACAAACGGAACACAAAAGACTCAAGACGTAGTTAAGAAGTTGCATAACAAGAAAAGCTTAGCCATTGTTGAAACTCAAAACACCTTTAAAAACAGTAATAAGTTGCATAACAAGTCGTCTAAACGCTTTTCGAGTTTGCATTTGTTCAGAAGTTCACAAGGAACACTACCACTGAGAAGCATCATCTTGACCAATCAGGTTCATGATCTAAAAGAAAAGGAAAATAAGCTGGATTGTGGATCTAAACTCGTTAAATTCTTACATTATACTCTTAACTGAATAAGACATTACAAAGAGTAAACATCAGTTTGATCAAAAGCTTAAAATAAATCTCCACAAGTGAACAACTTCAAAGTCTATAAGTTTCATCCCCGGCTTTGTTTCAAGACGATTCAACACCACATTGGATCATAAAACACTATGGAACCCTAATTTAATCAAAGAAGGCATATTAAACCCAAGTTCTTACCTGATGATCACAGTTACGACAAGCGTAGAGTAGAATCGACTGCTCCTTGTCTTCCTTCGGATATAGAATGTTATTACTGCATATTCCAATAAACAAAATCAAAATAGAGAAGAACAAAATTGGAACTTTAATCGAATTTGACTAACTTTAGCAAAACCACCAAAAACTAAAACTTTCGATGAATTTTCAGAAATGTATGGACTTATACGAACTGGGTGCAATACAAAATTCAAGATTGAACAAAGATATGATGATTTGAGAAGATTAGTAGTATAAAAGGAAGCTGAACAGATTCGTTTTTACTTTACCAAAAAAAAAAAGAGAACAGATTCGTGTATTTTACCATTCGCGACAAAACTTCATAGTACTCATCTTCGCAGAACCTTTCTTTAGATGAAGAGTTTTTGAACGCTTCTTGATTTCTAACACCTCTCAGCTCAGTGTCTTTGGCGGGATCTTTCGTTCACTCGGACAAGAGAGAGAGAGAGAGAGGTCAAGGTCTTCTAGTAAAAGACGACTGTGTAGTGGCAATCAGATGTAATTTCATAAACTTTCTCGAGCATTTACGCAGCATTTGGTTAAAAGCCCATGGACCGGCCCATAGACGATTAACTACGATTTTGATTTTACATATGGATTTTATGAAATCGTAGCCGGGGGTAAACAAAAAGAGAAATACGAAGAGGACAAGACGAAATAAATTTGACCCTTTCTTCATTGAAGTGTAATGTACTTTTTTTTTTTTTTTTTAATTCTGACATGAACAACCACATGCATATGAGATATCCCCATGCACCTTATATCATCATTCTGTAATTATTTCGTCCATATAATTACTATTCCAATAGAAAATGAAATAAAATATGCATAATTAAACTCATCATTACCTCATTTAGATTCCAACTATTGAATTGGTCTCTCTTTTAAAGTTTTTAACTACTCTTGACTCTACAGTGGACACCGACACATCTCTCTCTCTATCTGTTTAGCTTGTAGCAGCAACATGGTTTATTTGTGTTCTCCTTTTCATTCATTATATTACAGTTTACAACTTTTTTGTTCCTTTATTTATTTATTTGTAATTTTTAATAAAGTTATAACATACAAAAGACGAAAAAAATAAATGAAAGAATAAAAGAGAGCCACCTTTTGCAAATTTGATTTCAATTTTATCTCAAATGATGACTTATGTCTATTGCATGAAAACAACAACAACAAAAGAAACATAATTCAAGGTTTTTATTGAGTTATACTACATACTGATCATGCATAGATTAGATTGTATATATTATGCAAATTCGTAGTCCTATATCAATTTTTATTACCATAACATCTCAATGTTGCATTTATTTTTTGTATGCATTAATTGACGTATATATGAACAAATTTGACGAGTACATAATATGTAATTGGGTTGTTGAAGTGCACATGCAGTCATGCAGTCACACATACATACATACACTGTACATAACAATATGTACGTGTTATGAATTATGAATATGTGTATAGTTGGGTTGTTTCTATAAATATGGACACATATACACTAGCTTTTTTAAAAATAGTACCAACTCCATTGAATGTTAAGAACTTAGCTAGAAGATAGTGGAGAGATCATATAACGACAATATGAAGAAGCTCTTGATCAACATGTTCCTTGTGCTTTCCTCTGTTATGCCACTTCTCTCATTCTCGGAGGCTAATCCAACCAACTTCAGCGAGACTTGCGAAGACGGAAGTGGAGAAACCGGTTCCAGTTTTGGTATAGGGTTTGGTTTGGTTCTTGATTTCGGTTTGTACCGTAACAGCTGCCCGGAAGCAGAGTCTATCGTCTACTCGTGGGTCGAAACAGCCGTCTCACAGGATCCAAGAATGGCTGCTTCTCTTCTCCGTCTTCATTTCCACGACTGTTTTGTCAATGCAAGTCTCTATCTCATCTTAATTTCTTTTTAATGGTATTTTACATACCACTGAACCAGGAAAGTATGAATTCTAGTGTGAGTGTGTATTTTTGACTTACATCATGCATTGCAGGGATGTGATGCTTCGGTGTTGTTGGATGACACGGAAGGGCTAGTTGGTGAAAAAACCGCGCCTCCTAATCTAAATTCTCTCCGAGGATTCGAAGTGATCGATTCGATAAAGTCTGATCTTGAATCAGTATGTCCAGAGACCGTCTCATGCGCAGACATTCTTGCCATGGCCGCTAGAGATTCAGTTGTTGTGGTACATATTTTCAGCCTTACTAATCAATGAACTCCATTTAAAACGTTTTTGGTTAATTACTTATAAATTGGGTTCTTGAAGTCGGGCGGACCAAGCTGGGAGGTGGAAGTAGGAAGAAAAGATAGTAGAACAGCGAGCAAACAGGCAGCAACAACTGGATTGCCCTCACCAAACTCAACTGTACCAACTCTCATCTCTAATTTCCAAAAGCTCGGTCTTTCGCAAACCGACATGGTTGCTCTTTCTGGTATACATTCTTCTTTTTCTTTATAACCTAGACTAACCGTTTTGGAAGAAACACAAGATAATGAAACTTAACCATGATGCAAATCAGGTGGACATACATTGGGAAAGGCACGTTGCACTTCCTTTACAGCTCGATTGCTGCCGCTACAAACTGGAGAACCGGCTAACCATGGAGATAACCTTGACTTCCTCGAGTCACTACAGCAGCTGTGCTCAACTGTGGACCGCTCTGTAGCTATCACTCAGCTTGACTTGGTGACGCCATCAACATTTGACAACCAGTACTATGTTAACCTCCTCTCAGGGGAGGGATTGCTTCCATCAGACCAAGCTTTGGCAGTTCAGGACCCAGGAACGAGGGCAATTGTTGAAACTTACGCAGCGGATCAGTCGGTTTTCTTTGAGGATTTTAAGACTGCTATGGTAAAAATGGGAGGGATAACTGGTGGTAGTAATAGCGAGATTAGGAGGAATTGTAGAATGATTAACTAAAAATAATTGGAAGGAACCATATATATTCCTAGTCCAGACTTATTGACATCTATATAAAAATTAACGAAGACTACATAGGACTCTGGTCTTACGAAATATATATGCAATGAACAAACACATGGATGAACAATCAAGTTAGAACTCTCGAACAGGGCTTTCATCAGTTAATAAATGTACATACTTATATTTATATAACTATATAAGACTCCTCACAGGATCAAAGTTTGGTTTACCCAGCTAAGTTACTATTACTAACACAACATGAGACATAACTTGCGCTAGCTATGTTACAACAGACCATTTGTTTGGTAACTCTTGAAATGAAAAATAAGAGATCTGATTAGAGAAAAATAGAATGCAGATGGTCGTCGAATCACCTATCTATTATACCTGAAGGGGTTAAATTAATAAAAAAAAAGAACAGATACGAAGACCACTGCCATTGCTGCTTTTCCTCTGCTTGACTGGTTAGTTCCATGAGTTTCTATCTAGTTAGTAGTTGTTCCTGAGATATTTTAGCTGCTCGTTTCATACACCTGCACAGTATCAATCCATACAGAGAAATAGATGCAACTTCAAACTAGGAAAACATCATACCGGTGGATTGAGTTTCGGTATGGAAAAAAAATGGAAACAAGAGAGAGGAGAGAAACAGAAGATACGAACCTCAAGCTTTATTTTTCCACATGACTTCTTGGGGAGATTGACGGCTCTGGAAACAGAGATATGAATGTAAGAGAATATGAAGAAGGTTTCAACAAAAAAGAACATCTAAAAACCAAAGGAAGAAAAAACCATAACCACCTGTTGAGTTCTTGACAGATCATTCACTGAAGCAGCTCCCATGGGTATATGTGTCCGACCATATTCCTAGACAATCCAAACAAGTTAGAACATAAGCTCCACCTTACCAATTACCATATCCAACCAAGGAAGTCATATCAATTATGTTTCTTTTTGAGACATATGCATAAGGTTTTCTTCTTTCTAAAACGTTACAAAATAATGCATCAGATAAAGTTCATGTCGTAACTGAGAATCAACCAGTTCAATTTGAAATACTGAAATAAGTTCACAGATTCAGATATGTACCTGACTATTTTGACCAACTGGCAATGATGGATACTGGCATTTTGAAATAGAAAACAGACATTCACGTTAGAGATTATTATCTGTATTTCAACACGTTGGCAAATCTATGGCTTATTGAATTTTACATGAGGTGGTCAATCTCCTTCAACCACCAGATTAGCACTCCAAATGTAAAATAAATAATCAGGTTCAGTAGTTCAGAGATAAATACCTGAGCAATATGGCTGGCCCCTGGGGTTGGATACTGCAACACCATATGGAAAAGAGTAAGTAGGCAAGTAGACACCATGTGAGATTACTATTTGAATGTAACCAAACCAGAATAAAAAACGAAACCAACGAAACCAACCAGTGAAGAATGAAACGGCTGCTGTAATTGCTGGCCCTGATATTGTTGATGAACTGGTTGTGTTTGTTGCTGCATCGGCTGTAATTGGGTCTGGGGCTGCTGTATAGTTGGCTTCTGTTGATGCTGTTTCTGTTCATGTTGCTCTCGTTCGAACACTACCATTTCCTCAGGTTTTTCCCACTGAAAAAGTCAATTATACACATGTTATGGCAAATATTGACGAACTTCAAATATAAGATATACATATATTACCTGTCTAAGGATTATAAATAGCACAAGAAACAAAAAAATACTCCTGAAACTCACAAGGAAATATAATTACAGAGGAACCACGTTTCTCACCTTGCTTTCACCCGTTACACCATTGTAATAATATTTAAATCCATCAGGCGAAGTATGCTCGGTCCAGTTACATTTGACAATAAATACGCTCTGACTTACTGCAGGCGCAGCTGTTTGCACATTGGTAACTGCTGTCGAACCTGTGGTGCTAAGAACTGTAGGAATTGTAGATCCACCCCACTGATAAAGAAGCAGCAGAGAGGAACATTAGAAAAGGGGGGATACTAATACACAAAAAGTATAGGAACTGAGATGTCTATCAGGAAATAATTGTAAATTAAAGAAAAACAACAGTTGCTAAAGAACCCGGCAGAGCAGACGCAACTGAGAATTATATACGTACCTGCTGTTTACCAGCTTGGCCATTCTGTGAGAGTGGTAAATTTTGGTTTGGTTGCTGCATGGACTGCACCTGCTGCTGCAGCTGAGAAATTGCTTGCTGAGATGATTGCAATGTTGCTTGTAGACTCTGAGTTTGCTGTGACAAGAGCTGAGCTAGCTCAGAAGGAGGATGTTGCATCTTTTGTAGTGGTTGCTGCTGGGAACGAGGGGGAAATGGATCAGTTGCAGAAGACACAGGTGTTGGCCGTAGATTAATGTTCAATGGAGTTTGAGGAGCAGTTGCATGAGTGACATTTTGCTGTGGCGGCAGCTGAGAGGTAGGCGTCTGGCTGCTATAGCCATAAGGATTCTGCAAGGAGGCCTGGGCCCCAGGGAAATTAATTTGTGGACGGAGGGAGAAATCCTGTGGACTGTGAAGAGGTTTTTGTAATGGTGATATTTGCTGGCCAGCTGCCCGTTTTTGCTATAGAATAGAAACAGTTGAAACTCCAAATTAACCATCACAACATTTTCAGATTTGCTTAACTGGAAAAATATAGCTAAATTACCTGTTGCAATGAGGCAGAAGATGAAACTCCAGAGACAGGAAGAGGATTAAGGGGAGGAACACCATAACTACCCAATGGACCACCCTAACATTATAGAATGTCGCATATAACAAAGCTCACATCAGAAGGCCAAATTACTAAAAATAAAAAATTGCCTCAGTAACTGACAAACTGCAAACCAAGGCCATATCATTTGACAGTAGCACATATCATGTTGAATTATATGAAAAGCTGGAAGGTCGGAATTTCATGCTTCTATTCACAAATCATATGCTCATATGTGTGCAGTAAATAAAGTACTTTCTTTTTTTATTTGTCTTGCACAATACACGCAAATTATTTGCGGTTACTTGTATGAGTCTGTAGATTTAAGATGATATATATGTTCACCAAGCTGTTCTCACCTGATTTGAAGCCAGCGATGCTTGACCTGGTCTGGGGGAAAAGTCACTTCCAATGCCACGAATCCTAGTGTTACTTGGAGGGCCTATGTTTGGTGGATTCGGCGGACGCCAAGGATTTGTGTGGCCATCCTTACTAAGGTCACCAAGGTCAGAGGTAGGCCTAACAAATAGAGATGAGGAGACCATGGTAAGTCAAAACATATAATTACTTATGAGCATAATCATGATCTCTTTTCCCCCCAATTACCTGGGTCCTGAAGCTTGAAAACGAGGCCCTGAACCAAGTCCAACAGGCGGTGCCATGTCCCTGGAAATAGAAATTACTTGTGGATATGTATAGATTGTAACTCAGATAGAACTAATAAAGAAGGTATGCTACAATTTTCCTGATAAGAGAGCATCATGGTAAATCAAAATTTAGTCTTCAAGGTAATACCTTGACTCGCCAGGTTTAGGCCTCTTAGGATCAGCAAACCGAACAATCAGTGGCTGATTACAACCCTGGGGAAGGATAGAGACCAGTAAACCAAACAGGTCCAAAGGGTTATAACGAGAAAAAATTTAGATACTTATGTGATTCAAAGCTTACTCTCATGGTATAAGTTCCATTGAGACCATCAATAGCTGCCATTGCTGTCTCTTTACTTGAATATTTAACAAACCCACATCCTACATGAGTGAAAAACAGTATGACCATCTTAACACCATCGTGCATAATTTTTTTTTTATAGAATCTAGTAGCAGTTACAAGACATACCACGACTCTGTCTATATTCGTCACGCATGAGATAGACATCTTCCACGCGACCAAATTGTAAGAAGATCTGTTAGAGCAATAACAATCAAACGGTTCATCGGAAAGGTACAGGAAAAATCACATCTTTATAAATTTATTTAGTGACAAAATAATCCTGACAGTTAAACAGTTTGAGAAGAGAATCTCAGTAAGTAAAAAGGGTAAGTGGTTGCATTATTGACACCATTATTCCAGCCACTTACCCTGTGATGAGACTAATAAAACTATCATAAACCATTCAGAATTATCAGCATTGCAACAAAGGACACTATTATATCGAAATTTTGAACTCCTCCATGTTCTGTTAATCTGCCATAAGTACACCAACTTCAAAAGGTAGGAATATGAGACATACCTCCTCAACTTCTTTTTCAGTGGCTTGCTTGTTTAGTGAACCAACGAAAAGCTTAAACTCTAGTGCACCTTCAGAAGAAGATAACTAAATCAGCTGAGACTGGAGAATGAGGCCAAGAAAGAAAAAACAAAAATCCACATCCTAGAAATTCATAGCATCTTCCACATAATCTCAATTCTTGTAAGCTGAAACTATACAGTGTATGGTTATCGTTATGAACACCAGACAATGACATCCACATCAATAAAATACATGCCGAGGTTGATTACCTATGCGTTCTCTCTCCCCATCAGCATATCGAACTTGAACAGGACCAGTTCCCTGAAAATCAAGAAATTACAAAAATGTGAAACAGCCTATATATTTTCTGTTCTTGGTAAGAGGAGAAAGCCTCATTTGTAATTACCCCCGGAAGAGTGATCTGATTGTGCAGTGCTCTAATGGCTCTATCGGCATCTTTAGAAGTTGCATACTTTACAAAACAGCAGCCTGCATTTAATACTGATACATAAGCCGTCTGTTTGAAGGTTCAACTTTTCCCCATATCAACATCAAGAGGTACTAGTAAAAATTTGCATTAAAATGTACAAGCTACACAACCGCAATCTTGAAGAAATAACTGGCACTGTTCAAAGCACATAAGTTCCGTAGCAAATTCATAAAACATGCTCTGACAGCGTCCACTTAGATCATTGGTAAGATTGTTGGAGAGAATAAATTAATATCATTTAATGGTGCATTTGGCAATAAAATATGTTTAAAATAACACAATCAGTATCGGCAGATAACATATATACAAGAGGGCCTTTCAGACAAACGGTGGCTGATTATTTGCAAACAAGACCCATACATTGGAAAAAAACTAGAAAAATAAGTTTATACCTACAAAAAATATGACTACATGTCCAAACTCCAAGGTAAAGGATTACCGTGTAAGAATCACAACCATTGATAGTAACACAGACAACTAAAACCAGAACAAATATCACATTTTCGTCACCATACACCAAGCATTTGAAGACTTCAAAAAATAAACTACAGTTATGGGCAAGATAATCACAACTTAACGGCGTTCACTGCAAATAATTGCATATTCAGAAAAGAATACGGATGCATCATGTACTACATAATTAGACTCCTGCCATATGCTGCTCGATCAAGGGAGAGCAAGTGAAAGCCAAGCTTTTGCGCTAACATCAGAAATTATTCTAAGAAATCTAAACTATCAATTTCCTTCTATGTGTTCACACCCCCTAACTTTTCACAGGATTGAAGAAAGAGATGTATGGAGTCTACTACATTCAAACTGAGATAAAATAATTTATGTCACCAGAATCAAATGCCCTTGTTATGCCATCACAAATGTGTAGCATTTAGAGATACAATAACTTCTTGGAAAGTTAAGAACTAATAAATAACTATGCAACACATACAATCACGCCATTCAACACGTTCATTATCTAGTAATTCTTCACAGTGATAAATAAAGACAGAACTATATGAAATTGTACAAGAGGAAATTCAATATGAAAAGAAGAGTTGCAAGCACAAAGGCTTGGTTGGCGAAAAGGGAGCATACAAAAAAATCTATCATCAAACATCTCTTCACATAAATAAAAGACCAGCAGTTCCAGGGTCACCATACAGAAACATAGAGCTACCCAACAATTCATTCATCTATGACGAGATGTGGTATATCACATCACAAACCGTCCAAAAAAATAGAGAGGGAAGAACATACAGAAATAATGACATTTGCGGCCATTCAGAGAGAGGGAAAAGAGAGACAGTCATTATCGTTTCTCAGGCCATCAACAGAGGAAAAGGAGAAAAAACATTCATTCTGGCATCAAGCATCCAACAAGGTAAAAGGAACTCTATCATCAACCAATAGACAGCTGACAGCACATCCAAAAATGGATTTAAAAAAATGAAGACGCCAAACATTCAACAGAATAAATACATTCATCCTGTGAAGACAAACCATCTTTTGAACTACCAGCCTAAAAATACATTCATCCTGTCAAGACCATGCACAACATTTTAATCCATCTAAATGGAGATTAAAGAAATATGCCATTCAATAGGAGATGAAGTTACCGATATTCTTTTAACCAATACCCACTATAAAGGCAACAGCAAAACATCGTTTCATTTTTTTGTACATTATCTCCAACTTTAAAACACCCTCAATAATAAATTCTACTACACTTTTCAAACACACCTTAAGTTCTAGAATAGACAGAAAGATCACAAACTAATTGCCCAAGGTCAGTATATAAACCCTTTCTTAACAAACTACACAGGTAGCCTTCTTCTGTGACAGAATCGAACACAGATAGATGCTCGTAAGCATAAGCAATAAGCCCGAAAATGTTGCAAACAAATGGAGGCCATTGATGAGACTGGGGTTGCTTCCCATCAGTCTTTTGAGGGAGACCTGAAATTTAAAAAAGTATAGATCACAACTATTTCCTAGTAAAATTGAGAGTAACATACCTTGCTGCTGTCCTGTTCTCTTGTCCTTGATCAGAGCAACCTCCAGAACATTTCCATGTTGTTCGAAAAAAGGACGGACCTAGAATTTTAAAAACCAAAAGATAGATATTAGAAAAGGTAACATCATAGCAATGTGCATATATAGATAACAAATTAAATAGATATCCCAGATTAACTCACTTCTTCTTCTATAGCTGTCCTTGGTACAGAGCCAACAAAAAGCTTGACTACACTGCTACAATCAGAATCATCTGCAAATCGAAATAATACATAGGGAAATAGTTATGATTGTCGCATACAAGTGAAAATCGAAAGTTCACATAAACAACCTTCAACAATCAATTAACATGACAACTATATTACCTATACAATACTCTAATCATTGATTCCCACAAAAACAAGAGATCCTCGGGAACATTAAAAGACTACAAGAATAAAGATAGATAGAAGAAAGAAGAGTGAACTCATGCTTACCAGTTCCAGGAAAGTTGCCATGCTCTGAGATAGGATACCCTCTTTTCTGACCCGAAATATGTTGTTGAACCGGTGGTGTAGTCGGTCTGACAGAATAATCAGACTCCATTGCTTTACGAATAAATCTCCTTCCCTCTGGACTCTCTGAAGGCGGAAACTTTACAGTCCCGCTAGACCGGAATCCTCCTCTGCCAACGCCAGCTCCAGCTATTGACCGCTTCCCTTCTCCTCCTACGCCACCGTTAGGACCCATGGGATGAAACCCACCATCGAAGGCAAAACCCATAGGCCGAAAATTTCCGCCATGGCGAGGACCCATGGGCTTAAAATCTACTCTATCTGAAGGACCATTCATCTGCCGGAAACCTCCATCTCCGGGACCATCAAAATCCGTAGGGCTGTCACCTTCCCAGCGTCGACCTCCGCCCCCAGTTCCAATTCGATAATTGCTAGGGCTGCTTCCACGTCGACGACGGCGTCGGCTAAATTCATCATCATCTTCTTCGAAGCGTGAATCTTGGGGACGAGGTGGACCTCTATGATGGGGTCGGTGGTTATGGTAGGAATCATCGTAGCCGCCATTTTCATGGCGATCCCTTCGGTGCCTATCCAGCTTGAAGAATTAGGGGAATTCAGATAAAAATTGAGATTCCAGTCGAAGCAATCAAAGGACCTTGGAGCCCTAAAAATTGGGATCTGAATGAAAACAAACAAAAGAGTATCGAAGCTGAGAATTCGAAGATCAAATTTTTGACTTTTTGGTCCAAATGTGAAGACAGTAACAAACGTTGTATTAACGTACTCTTGACCAGTGGCCGGTAAAGTAAAAGCAGTCTAAAATTGGACCGGTGGTCCGGTTGGAATTTGGACTGGTAGATTTTCATTGATTTTTTTTAATAGGAATTTCTATTTGATGCAAAACATAATAGGAATTTATTTTTGAAATACACTTTAGTCAAATTTGTCATCATAAAAAACATATATCATTGGGTAAAAATGATTAAAATACCTGTTTGGGAAGAAAAAAAATTATTGTTGACTAAGATTATACTTTTTGCTAAGAGATTAAAGATATACTTCTAACTAATATTGAATTTGGATCATAATGAATGGAAAAATTAAAAATTAGGCTTTGAATGAGGAGGTTTTGAGGCTTTTTTGTCACTAAAAACCTTTTCCCACATATTAAATCTTTCTTTTCTTAAATTTAAAAAATGAAAAGTGTATAATCTATAAAATCACTCATAAATACTAACCTAAAATATCGGTCAAAGTATGCAGAAATGGAGATAAAAATTTGAAATACCACTCAAATATACTAACAAAATAAATATTTATTAGTGTTTTTGGTTATTAATCAAGGTAAGTCAATAATTTCACTAAATGTAAAAAAGTTGAATACTTTTGCTAGATACATATTAAATATCATTTTTTCTTGTGCAATATATATGTATTGCCATCTTATGGTTGCTTCATCAGATTGTTGAGAGTCATCCAAATTCCAATTTCGGAGTGTTGATTTGAGTTTCACATCATCGGTAAAGTATATTTAAATTTGAAGGAAATGGATTATTAAGTTGTTTTGTATGTAATTAATCTATCAAAATGTTATGTGACTTGGGTTATCAAAATGTGAGTTTTTTTACACACAAGGTTGACACATGTTGTGTTGTTGTCCTTCGTCGTACGCCGTACGGTCATGGTGAATGCTAACGTAAGCATCCTCGTCTCTTAACTTTTTTTTATTTTTTCATCCGCAGGCGATACAATCTAAACGCGGCGTTTAGAAGCGTTTCTGATTGGGGTACGTCGCAATACTCTCTTCTTTAATCAGTTGATTTCCTAATTTAGCTTTTCACCATGTTCGTTTGGGTTTTTTTTTTTTTTTTGTTTTTGTTTTGAACATTTTATGAATGAAGCTTGGCTTCTGAGATCTCGACGAAGATAAAAAAAAAGGCTCTTTGGCTACTGCAGGTATTTTCAATTTGGATTCCTGTATCATCAATCTCCTATCGAATGGGGGTTTTCTAAACCCTAAATCCAGTTTTTTTCTTTTACCTCTCTCTCTCTCTCCCTCTCTTCACAAGTAGCTCCCTTTCTCTACCCACTAATTCAAGCTTTTTGCATCAGTATCCATCTCTGTGTTATCATTTCTGTTTTATGTATGTGATTGCCACGAATCGTCTCGGCCGTTGCTCATTTCGTTTCCGTCTTACTCTGGTTTTTTAGGTTTCGAGCTCACTCTGCTAGAAAACCCTAAAATTTGCTGTTTTAAAACTTCCCTTGGCGAATTTGAAAAGGCGACATCTTTCAGAACCCGCCCACCAAGGACACATCTTGATAAGAACAGACTTGTGTATCTATCAAGGTAAGTTGTTAAGTTGGCGTTCATCTTCTTACTGGTTAGCCACATTTTTCTAGGTTGATTTTGAAGGTTTTTTTCTTCTGTTTGTGATATACGGGGTTAATTTTTCAGGTGAGAAGCTTAGGCAGGCGAAACTTTTGTTCAAATTTTAGTCCTTTAGATAGTTTGCATTGGAATTGAGATTGGGTGTAAGCAATAAGAAGATAAATATGGATGGTAAGGGGAGGAAACCTGCTTCCAAGAGAGGATCTAAGATTTTTCAGTTTGACGATGATGCTGATGATGATGAACCTATCGGATCTCTTTTAGAGGTTATGAAGCATAAAAGTTCCAAGAAGAATAAGGTTGAGACAGAAAGTACTGGTAAACGAAGGCATATACAGTCTCTGGAGAAGAAACTGAGTGCTTTGGACAAGGATTCTGAAGATATGGATGACACCTTAGCCAGTTTTAGGAAGCGATTGAAGGGCAACAAGAAATGTGTTGGATTTGGAACCCCAGGGACTAGGAACCACGAGGGTGTACCTCCTACTGATACTGTAATAAATTGTAAGCTGAACCCAATTGAGGAAGGCAACACAAACGAGGTGCAGAATGTATTACTTGGGGATGGTTTGAGTAACAAATCTGTCAAGAAGATGGTTGATTCAGCGATAGAATGTTACAGTCATAGGGCTCTCTTAGATTCTGGCACGAATAATAAAAGAGTGGATTACATCTCGGAAAACGGTGCTTCTAATTCTATTCAAAAGTGTGTTTCAGAAACTGGAACCCTCCTGCATAAGTTTAATGGTAAGGATGAGGCAACCTCTCCCGTTCATGGAAAAGTAGTAATACCCATGTCAGTATCCAGCAAGAAGGAAGCAGATGTCATTCATCAAATTACAGATGAGGAATCTGAAAGGCCATTGTCGGAGAAGGTTCTGGAGCTATCTAGGGTGTCTGTTCCCATGGCAGATGTCCATGGCGAAGTTTATTCTCCTACTGATAAAACAGAAGTTGCAGTCATTGCTCCTGATCAGCACAGACACTTGAGAGATCCAGCTTCAGATGGAAGTGGTATTCAAGTTAATACTCTAGAAAATGGAACTGCTGAAGCTTCCCCGGTTTCATTAACTCCCTGTGATGATGAAAATTTCCGAGGTGATGCAATTTCATTACCTAATTCTGGCAAGCCATCCACCTTGCCACGCCCAGAGCGTATTGTTAGAAAGCGTAAGCTAGGAAACATGGTGTATGAAGGAGACATGAATTGGGAGAATGAGCAAGGCTTTCTTGATTGTCAAAGTGACAAGTCCTTTAAAGGAAGCGACAAGTGTGATTTTGTTCCATCTATTCCCAAGGAAACTGAAATTGGTAGAGCAGCTGCGGTGACAGCTGGACTTAAAGCCCAGTCAGTAAGTCCAATTGAGAAGATTATACTTAAAGAGGTGTTGAAGCGCAAAGGAAGCCATCAGGAGTACCTAGTTTGCAGGTTAGTTTCCTTTTTTGTTGCTGTATGTATTCAAATACGTGGTTTCAGTGTTTCTTTTCTTGTATAGAATGTATTTTTCTTAAGATGTCAATCCCATTTTCACCTTCTTCATTTGTTGGAAACCTTGAATACTTACTGTATTGTTGCAATGAAATTCAAGAATTTTTAAAGTTGTTGTAATGTCCATTTTGTGTTCTCAATTTTTTTTTGTTTCATTCGGGATCCTGAAGACCTTAATGGTATTTTGATAGATTTGAACTGATATCTGTTGTTATACAGGAATTATATCTTAGGCTTGTGGAGTAAAAATGTCAGTCGAATCTTACCTGTCACTGAGTGTGGTATTACCAGTGGCCCTTCTGAGAGTGAATTGCCATCGGCTTCCCTTATCAGAGAAGTCTATAAATTTCTTGATCAGAGAGTAAGTCTGATGTTGCTTTATTTGTGTTTTCCTATCTTGTTATTTATTTGTAACATTATTGAAAGGAGAATGGGTGCTGGTTTCTTATATACCACATGTGCAATGGTGTTTTTTTTGACAGGGTTATATAAATGCTGGAATTTCATCTGTGAAGGGGAAGGTGGGATCTTCGACTAATGAAGACTACGATCTCCACCAAGGGAAAAAGCGTGAAGAAAGTTCAATGGCTTCTGTTGCAGATTCTGAAGAGGGAGTTGCTTTTATCCTTGGTCAGGTCAAAGCTGTTGAATCAACTAGTGAGGGTAAGAAATGTGCTCTCCAAAGTGATGAAAGGGATCTGGTAGGATGTGCGACCTCAGAAATGCTGGGATCTACCAGCAAAACATGCGAGGAAGACATTGTTGATGATTGCAAACATTCTGTAAGCATAAATGCTTTACAGGATGATACATCATCTAAGATTGAAAAGCATCCTGAAACATTTTCAGTAGTGAAACCTGCTTTCTCTAGCACACTCTCGTCTGCAAATAGTAATCAAACGAGAGGAAGGGACTGGGTTCAATGTGAGGTTAAAGATGAGAAGAAAGTTATAGTAATTGGAGCTGGTCCTGCTGGATTAACAGCAGCACGTCATTTACAGCGCCAGGGTTTTTCTGTCACCATTCTTGAGGCAAGGAGTAGAGTAGGTGGTCGTGTATTTACAGACCGGTCTTCTCTTTCAGTTCCTGTGGATCTTGGGGCTAGCATAATTACAGGCATTGAGGCTGATGTGCCATCTGAAAGAATGCCAGATCCTTCGGTATTGGTCTGTAACCAATTAGGTCTGGAGTTGAGCGTGTTGCATGGATTCTGTCCTCTTTATGATACTGTAACAGGGGAAAAGGTTCCTGCAGAATTAGACGATGCTCTACAAGCAGAGTTCAACAGTCTAATTGATGATGTGGATTTACTTGTTGAGGAAATAGGCAAGGAAAGAGCAAATAAAATGTCCCTCGAGGATGGTTTAGAATTTGGCCTTCAACGGCTGAGAATGCCACATGACAAGGTGAACATTGAAAAAATTGGGTTTGTCAATTCAATTGATACTTCCTGCTCAAAAACAGGCATCAGTGGTCCCGTTACGAAGGATGAAAGCTTAGATGATGATTTTTTGAATCCTTTGGAGCGAAGAGTTATGAATTGGCATTTTGCTCACACAGAATATGGTTGCGCTGCTGTCCTCAAGGAAGTTTCGCTTCCTCATTGGAATCAAGATGAGTTTTATGGCGGTTTTGGAGGGCCACATGCTATGATTAAGGGTGGCTATAGTCGAGTTGTTGAGTCGCTTGCAGAAGGACTTGACATTCACTTGAATAAAATAGTTTCTGAGGTATCTTACGCCTCTGATGTATCACCCATGCATAACAGCAAGCATAAAGTCAGAGTTAGTACATCAAATGGATGTGAGTATTTTGGAGATGCTGTTCTGGTAACTGTTCCTCTAGGATGCTTGAAAGCAGAAACTATTAAGTTTTCACCACCCTTACCAGACTGGAAATATTCGTCAATCAAACAACTTGGGTTTGGAGTTCTAAATAAAGTTGTGTTGGAGTTCCCAAATGTATTTTGGGATGATAGTGTTGATTATTTTGGGGCAACAGCTGAGGAAACAGATCTAAGAGGTGAGTGCTTTATGTTTTGGAATGTCAAAAAAACTGTTGGCGCTCCTGTCCTAATAGCTTTGGTTGTTGGGAAAGCTGCTTTTGAATATACAAACAAGAGTAAGTCTGAGCACGTGAACCATGCAATGATGGTTCTTCGTAAGCTTTTTGGTGGGGATCTGGTTCCTGATCCTGTTGCCTCGGTAGTTACTGATTGGGGCAACGATCCCTACAGTTATGGTGCCTACTCATATGTTGCTATTGGTGCTTCTGGCGAAGATTATGATGTATTGGGAAGGCCTGTTCAGAATTGTTTGTTTTTTGCTGGTGAGGCAACATGCAAAGAACATCCTGATACTGTTGGTGGTGCAATGATGACTGGAGTCCGGGAAGCTGTGCGTATAATTGATATACTTAGAAGTGGAAATGATTACACAGCCGAAATAGAAACACTAGAAAAAGCGCAAAGGAAATCTGTCCCAGTAAGGGATGAAGTCAGAGACCTAATAAAGAGGCTTGAAGTTGTTGAGCTGTCTAATGTGCTGGCCAGGCAATCGTTGCTTCGGAACATGTTCTTCTCTGCTAAAACAACTGTTGGACGTTTGCATTTAGCCAAGGAGTTGCTTAGTCTACCTGGTGAAACCTTGAAATCCTTTGCAGGTACAAAAGAGGGGCTTGCGGTGCTGAACACTTGGATACTGGTAAGCTAGTGAGATAGTTTCTTATCCCAAAGCACAGAATACAACTTTCCTTGGCTTATTTCAAATTTTCTATTAGGATTCGATGGGGAAGAATGGAACGCAGCTTTTACGTCACTGTGTACATATTCTTGTTCGAGTTACGAGTGATCTCTTTGCCGTGAGGCTCTCAGGTATTGGTTACTTCTTCCAAGTGCACTTTCTGCCCCTAACCTCTTATATCACGTGCAGTCAGTTCTGTCTTAAGACTCGATATCATGTGCTATCTGTTTCATGATTTTAGCCCTGTTTTCTGTCTCTAAGTTGGCTACTTTCCACTTTGTAATGCAGGCATTGGGAAGACTGTGAAAGAAAAGGTTTGTGCACACACTAGCCGTGATATCCGCGCGATTGCAAGTCAGCTTGTTAATGTGTGGCTGGAACTATACCGGAAAGAAAAAGCTAATAGTGCAAAGAAATCATCGAGACAAGTGAATACTACAAATACCTCCAGACTAAGAAGAAAACTGAATAATGCGGACACAGACAGTAAGGGAAAGCTGAGTAATGGTAAAGATGGGAAAACAGATGGAGAGCTTCAAGACAACCAGCTACATATGTCAGAGGAAGAGAAGGCTGTGTTCGCTGAAGCTGAGGCAGCTCGTGCAGCAGCAGAAGCAGCTGCAAAGGCAAGATTTTGTAATCTCCAAATTAATGAAATGCATTGATGGATGCTTGCTGAATGTTTTAATTTTCTCTAGGGCGGAAATGGGCTTTTTAAGTCATCTCTCTCTTTATTTGTTTGTTAACAAATAAATTATATGTTCTTGTCTTGCAGGCATTTTCTGAGGCCTATCATAATACTTCATTGCAGCTTCCTAAGATTCCCTCGTTTCATAAGTTTGCCAGGCGTGAGCAGTATGCAAAGATGGACGAATCTGATTTCAGGAAAAAGTTTCCAGGCAATGTCTTAGGAAGACAAGATTGTATGTCAGAGATAGACTCGAGGAACTGCAAAGTTCGGGACTGGTATGATTTTCCTGCCTCCTGTCTTGACCTTGACAATTCAAGGATTCCCGGCGATAACTATTCTCAGCGTAGCCATTCGAATGAGCTTGTATCTCATTCGAAGTTCAGAGAATATTCTGGAGAAAGTGGGGCAGCGGATACCAGTTTCTTAACTGGCGCATGGGTTGATACTGGTGGTAGTAGTGATGGTTTCAAGGATTCTCAGGCTATAGATAGATGGCAATCTCAAGCTGCTGCCGCTGATCCTGAATTTTTCAATCGTACTTTGCATATTAAGGATGACGAAGATTCGATTGCATGTTCAACAGGCCCTCCTAGTTGGAAGCATGACCAACGAGCGAATGAAGGTTCTGTGTCACAGGTGACAGTAAATAAAGAGTCACATAAAACTCATATCCGGAGTGCAGATCGTTTGAAACAGGGGGTTGTAGATTTTGTTGCATCGTTGCTTATGACCCCGTATAAAGCCAAGAAAATTGATAGAGATGTATACAAGTCAATAATGAAGAAGACAGCAACAAAGGTTTGTAACTTTGTGATTTTTTTCTCTTCAAAATTAACTAGTATATTGTGATTCTTGTTTCTTCCTTAATTTAGAAAACGAGTCTTCTGAAACTCTTGTGTATATATCAGGTTATGCAACATACAACAGATGTGGAGAAAGCCATGGCTGTTCAGCAATTCCTCGACTCAAAGCGGAAAAACAAGGTTTGTAAAAGCTTCAAATAATCAGAGTTTCCTTTTCCTCAGTTATTGCCTCTTAAGTTTTTAGTTTATCCATCTCTCTGGTGTAGCCGAAATGTGGGATTTTTTTCTTGTGATTAATAATCTTGGGCACAGGTTTGTATAGTAAATATCAGTAAATAGGTGTATCTATTTTAGAACAGTCTCTGATTGATAGTCACTTCATTTGATTAATATGTGTACAGATTCGTGACTTTGTGGACAAACAAGTTGACAAGCATATGGTGATAGCTCCAGTTCCAAAAAGTTGATGACCAATGGGGTCTACAGTCATGGCCAATGGAAGTTGGTTGGTATCGGCTGCGATGGCAAAGCCCCTTTGTAGAAACCACATATCATTGCTCATTTTATGAGGAAGGTTATCTCAAAGAAGCAGATGTCTCATCGAAAAGAGAGTTTTCCCATGATATTTTCTCATACCTAAAGATTGGCAGAGACAAGTTTTTCGCACTAACCTGATATGATGAAGAATTTGGTCTTGCTATATTGGAAGGTATGAGTGAAGCATCTTCTCTCCTCTTGCCGGGGGAATTCCAAGGACTTTCTGATCATGGTTCTATGTCAAGTGGATGTGTATTTCATGAGTTGTCCCCTCGGATGATACATGTTCTCAACGTACGCTGATTGTTTTTAGTAATTGTATAGAGTTCAAGATTTAGTGTTAACCCCATTAGACAAATTCTACTTTCAGGTATCTGAATTCATTTCTTGAGATTCATGTCATTTTCTGAACCCAAGAGAAAAGTTTTTCACTCTATAATGTAATGGTAATATAGATTTTAGAGTCAAAGATGCCAATATGATCTTATGTTCTGATTTTCCTATACTATCTGCAGCCATACATCCGTTGGTAAGTTCATTCCCTATCTTTCTTGAGGGGAAGTCTGAGATAGTACTGTTGCAGGTGTTTCACTTTCACTCTTGCAGGTAAAGATGGACCATCAAAAAGTGGAAAGTAATGATTGTTCAGCTCCCAGGCATTTCGGTAATTTTGATGAACTTCTGGTGTCTTAGCCTTACAAGCAGCTTGTGGGGAACTGCAACAAGTAACAACGCAGGTTCTTTGCTTTGTGTGTGTTTCTTCAGCGTTACTTAATGATGCCTTTGTTAGCAATGTAGCTGAACGTTTGATACTGGCTTTAGCAGGTGAGGAAATTTAAGACTCGGCTGAATATACTCTGACACATGTTGGTGAGAGCTGGAATCTGTTTAATCGACGCTGTTTAGATATAGTTTACCTTGGTTGAAATATCACTCTGCTTGTTGATGTGAGGTACATATATGCTTGCCATTTTTGTTTCTAAACAATTTTCAGTTGCATTTAGATATGATCATTGATCGAAGGATCGTATTTATGATTGATTCATATCATCAATTCAGTTGATCTGAGTTTGTCGTCGGGTTGGTAGCAAATGTAGTCTGATAATTTTCATGCAATATAAATAGATGAGCATACGGCTTTGCAAGGACCTCCCATTATGTTCTCAAATCTTTGCATTTAGTTTTGTTTGTGTAAAGCAAAACATAGGGCGTTATTGAAACTTCAAAGAATTCTACTACTGAAAACGTTGGGCCAAAATTTCATTCGGTTTATTTATATATCATGAGTTTTTACAGCCAATGTTTATGTCTTGTGTTGTAAACAATAATCATAACAAATTATTGTGAAACAACTTTGTGTCGAGGCAATTGAAATTCACACACTCACTAGCATAAACTTGAGAACAATAAAAACGACGGCCAGTGAACGAAGATAAGATTAGCAGAGGAGAGCATCGAGGTTTCGTTTACCCTCAGGGGCTTTGGAGTACCAGGAAGAAACATACTGACCATACACAACTTCCTTGTAAGACGGTGGTGAGAGTTGAGAAACTGGTGCTATCCTTGCAGTCTTGGAGGGATCATGAAAGGTTGCGACTGATAACCTCGCCCGATTCGCATTAGTTACGGCTCTATGTTGAGCACTTTTGTATATCCCATTGGTTATGATCTGCACAAAGGATAAGAAGAGACATGTCAGAGGCTTCTCTAGCTTAATTTTTTCAATGACCTCAATCAATAGAATAGAAACCTCGGTCTGATCGGCCACAAGAACGAGAATAGCATCAGAGAGAGGAGGAACAGTGAGCCATTGGTCATCCTTGTAAAGCTGGAGACCTCCAACATCATCTTGAATCAAGAGAGTAATAGCACCCATGTCGGAATGGGACTGAAGACCAAGAGTGAGCTCAGGCTGAGGACAAGGAGGGTAATAGCTCACAGTGATGTTCTGATAGATTTCTCCAACAGCTTCTTCTATAGATGAACAAGGAAGACCCAAACTCTCTGAGATTACCCCTAATAGCATCTGAGCCAGTTTCTTCATCTCATCACCATATTGTCCCACTACTTGCCTACCAATTCCAATCCAATACAATCAATTTAGAGAAAGGTGAAACATTTTTGTCAGAATGAAGAGATGAATCAAAAGCAGGAACCTGTAGTCAGGAGGATGAATCGGCCAACGAGAAGGGTTACGGCGAGAGAGAGGGAAAGTGTGGTGATCAAAGTAGTCTCTCCAGTCCAAAACGACGTCGTCTTTAGTACCTAGCAACATACGGCTGCCGTAACCTTCGGATGCGGCGGAGGAAGAATCGCAGGCGTATCGGAGCTTCTCTTCCATGGGAGAGTCTCGGAAGAAAGAGAGACCCAAAGACCTCATCCGATCAAGGAGATGAATAGGAACGCCATGGTTGATCACGTGGAAGGCTCCCCAGTTGCGACAAGCGTCACCGATGGCTTCTCTCGCGGAATCGGAGGTCGAGAGGTCGACGGTTGGGATTGAAGCTGCATCGCCGGTGTGATGGAGATTAGGACGAGCTTCCGGTGGCTGAATATACTGAGACGGGACCTCCGGTAAGTTGCCTTTGATAATCAATTCTACTCTCGACGACGCTGTTTCCATGGCTCATCTGATCTGATCTGAGCGGAGAATTCTAATAAAATTATGTAAATGTTTTTTTTTTGGGTTCAAATGTAAAACAGTGATGACGTGGCACTTTAATTATATATATGAAGGTTTGGGACACTCTTGACTCTTGCTTAGAGTTTTTCTTTCATTTACCGAATTGACTCTCTTATATGTTTATCACTCTCAAAATTTTAATCGATGGGTCTCGTTCTTGTTTGGACAGAAATTCTAAAAATAAAACCCATATAACATATAAGCGAAACAACAAAGAAATGATTAAAACATACAGCCAAGCCAATAGTGGAAGCAAAAAAGCATAAAACTCATAGCAAGGAAAAAAACCTGACAAAAAGATTCTAAAGTTCGGACAAGATTGCAGGAATGTAATGTGAGAGTTCTGCAGTGAGAGACTGAAATCCATTGACAAGCTGCGTATGGAATTCCTGATCTTCTTCTCCAATTAATCTAAAGTGAACCCTAATGGCTCGCTTACAAACTGCCATGAATTCAAGCAGTGCCGCTATCAGTTGCTGCAGTTCCTGCGAACGCAATCTAGTTGCAGGCTCTCCTGATAAGAAAGCTGTGCACACGCTCAACACCCCACTATTCACCTGCATATTTCCATGGAAAAGGCATAAGATAAGCATTTCTACATTTTACAACACTATCTGTAACAAATATTATGGGAGAAAACCCACCTGCACTGCCACACTTCCTTGGAGAATCCTCTGCAGACTTTGAAGCCGGGGTAGGTGATCCCCATCCGAGCTACGAGGTTCCTCTAGCTCATTTCTCAGGGCGGTTGTCCGCGTTTCAATCATTCCAATTGCATTCTCCACTGGCGAGAATTCAAGGGATTCAGATTTGGTAACCAACAGCCTATTCACAAGGGCAGGGAATGAACCCTCTGTTTGCAGCACCGTTCTTCTCTTCCATTGATCTTCTAATCCACCTTGTGTCTTACCATTTTTTGTAAATGGTGTGTCAAACAAGAAGCGATCAAACACTCTTGCTCGAACACTTCCAGTCGAAAGAGAAAATATTCTCTCTCTTCTGCTCCCAAGATCCTCATCTTCCATCACAGCATCAACAGCCGTAATTTGCAGGTAGCACGCTCCTGCTTGCAATTCTTCTGCCTTCACTTGTCTCGAATCTGGAATGATGTGCAGAATATGGTTGCTGTCCATTCTTGATTCATAAATATGGCTCAGCTTTTCCATTATATCCCCTAGTCGCACGTCTCGTGGTTCTCGGTATACATATTCTTTCCTGTCCAACTTCCCAAACTTTTCCCCGTAAAATCCCACCCGGTAATATGTAGCATCGATAAATGGGATTGGGTTTGATTCTTGGTCTAGAATGGACTCGTAAATATTAGTAAGTAGGGTGTGACACTTAGCCAACTGCCCATAAGCCTTCCTGCTCTTGTAAACTGGAATAACAAGTTCCAAAATGCTTGCACAAAAATGGTAGAGCTCAGCTTGAGAGAAAAGCTTATTAGCAAGCTGTAGATACTTGACGGCTGAGTCAACTGTTAGCTTTGAAGCACCATAACCCTCGACTTCAGCTGCAGATGCCTCTGTTGTAAACTCGCCACTTACCATCGGGCAAATCTTACGCAAGGAAGACACATGATCCTTGCTCCACACACCATCATTTCTAGCCACCAAGGCCTACAAGGGCAAAAACGAAAACATGCATATAAGTTCTGGGAGTATTATTTAGTGGACAGGAAGACTTGAATGAAGACTGCAGAGCTTAAAAGCCAACCAACTGCAGAGATGATCCACTGTGCAACTAAAACACATACCAGATTTATATATTATTACCTGCATTATCACACCTGCAACTGCCACAGCACACTGTGCAGCTTCAGCCCAAGACTGCATTTCCTGGTGGGCATCACATAGATGCAGCAACCACATTATGTGAAGATCAGGAACAGGAGCAAATGCCATTCCAAGTTTGTAGAAGCTCTCTGCTGCAGCATATCGATCCATAGCCATCACAGATCCCTGTAATGACAGAATTTTGCATTGGAAAAAATCAGAATGACTTACAGACTGGTTAAGTCTAATAGTTTTATCTTCATCACGATAGGAACAAAGAAGAAACATGACAGGAAATGGTGCAAACATGACACTGATGCCACAAAACAGGATTGGCAAATTTGTGTAAGTTAACAAGCCCGCCTGTGATACTCATTTAAGACCAGTGATGTCAAGACAGTCATTCACAGTAATATTTGAACTCAACTATTAGGAACTCTCTAAAATTCCTAAGTTCAAATTTCAGGAAATATCAGGAAAGAGAAGGGAGGGACATGAATCTACTCTCTATAAGCTTAAAATTGTCTCCCTATAAGTGATTAGACCACACTGATCATGACAAGAAATGCAGATGTACTCGGACACACTTTATAAGTTCCATCAGTCTCAATATCCAACTTCCACACACAAGAAATTGAATCCTGTGATATCTTATATACCTATCAGTTCGATGATTATGATAAAACTAGATGTTGACGGGGAGGAATTTGAGTCTAAAAAATATGACACTTCTTTTACATAAGAAGGCAAGGACCAATTTAGCAACCAAGTCCTCTAATACGGGTGACAAGATGAACAGAAGACATTTCTCCCTTCACTGACACCAGAAAAACTATCTTAACGAAATGCCAAGTTGATTATAGACCATACCAGAAGGGCATGCCCGAGGCTGGCATCAAGAGCAAGAACAAGGCTGTCAGAAAGATGTTTCACTTCATCCCATGACCATCGGTTCTCGGTAAATTTCTCAGGAATTATCAACAGTGTATCATCAGGAAGACCACACTCCCTCAACAAATCGACACTCTTAGCTTCATCAGCCATTTCGCTTAATGACTGTTGAAGCCGTCGTGCCTCTCCACTCTCTTCTAATGTATTATCTGTTTTCATATGAGTCACTTGGACATCCGACATGAGTTCTGACAGTGTAATGGTCAGCAAAGCCCTCAGCCTAGCAGTCTGCATAAAGTATAGCGAGCTCTGCAAGAACAAAGCAATTGATTTCATACCTGCTAGCAAGAAACAGAGAAATCTTTACAGGAATCTAGATGACTCACCTTGACTAGTATTTGAAGACCAATAACAGCTCTTTTCCTGACACTGTCATTGCGGTAAACAGCAAGCCGGAGGAGATGGAAGGCTATCTGTTTTAAGAAGCGATCATTTTCCCTGGCCATCAGTGTAGCCCCATGAAGATCAAAGATTTTGTTGAAAATTGGAAAGAAGGCTTTCCAGAAGGCTAATGACTGGTTTCGAGAGAAGAAACTTGTCAATATTGTAGTAATGCAGTCCAATTTTCCATAGTCCGTCGCAATATTGTGAGAGGCTGCCATTGATGAAAATTTTTCGGTGATCTCCAAAACCTGGAGGCTAACAGTGGCACTTACATTCTCTTCCCAAAGTTCCTGGTGAAAGTGAATGCAATTAGTAGAATAACTCATTGAAAACTATGCCAGCAAAAATGATGAGTAACATTCAGGAGAGGCAAAAAGGCAGCATAAAACTATACCAGTTTTTGCCTCAAAATAGGGTGTAGCGATTCTCTTAGTGCCTGGGCTGAAGCTCCAATCCGTGAAGATTGTGCTTGAGCTAAAGCTTCTCTTAGAGAATAAGGTTGGCTAGGGGAGGCCAACTGAGAATTAACTCTCTGCCACAGGTACCCATTATCAGGTGTTCCCTCTAGCTGCAGTAAAAGATCAGAAGGCATTTGAGCGGCCCTGGGTTTTAACATAAAATAAGCAAAAAGTGTAGGACTTCTAACTTAGTTTTGAGAATCCCACCAAAAGAAAGCAATTATATAATGGAACTCTAGGTGAACTTTTAGGTTTTTACCAAAAGTAGAAGAGAGGAACAAACATACAAGATAAATTTAGAAACTCACCCTGACTTCTTGGCGAGAAGCCTCTGACAGATAATTGTTGATAGCAGGAGAAAGTCGCTCGGAGTACTTTGGTGATCCAGCTCCTTCACTAACAGGACCACGCGAATTGTTTCCCCCAAGGATGCTGTCAGCTGCCTTCTTGTGCTGAAATTTTATTTAGTTTAACATTATCAAATACCATAGGAGTCAAACATTAAAGTGGAGTAAAAATACAAATAATTATGGGTAATACATCAAATCTAAGTTCTACTAGACTGTATGCAGTTCCAAAATTTTCTACGACATCCAATCAACTAGCTGAAGTCAAATTATCTCACAGAAAGACATAAAGGAGTATGGTCGATACTAGATAACTTATATGCTGACACCATAGGCCACCTGTATCCATATTTCTATGGATAAATAAAATAGTTTAGCCTTTTCCCAAATTTTAAGAAATGGTTGCGGAGAGGAACCTCGAAAAGTATGAGGCATTCTTCCATTAGTTTGAAATACAATCTAGTACGAGCGATGCTCTGCTGCCATGCCTTGACAAGTGATGTGTCATCCAGATTACGAACAATTTGCAGCACACCAATTAAAACCTCACGCTTTTCAGTAGCATTTAGGTTATAAAAAACAGGCATTTCATCTAAAATCTGCAAAAGAAAGAAACCAACATTAAATGTCAGAAAATTTATTAGCTGACCTTAGCTACAACTGTAAAACATGCAATCAATTATGCTACACCATTTAACTGCTTTTCACATATTTCTGATTTCTTAGTATCCTGTAATAATGGATGCCTATGACACAATAGTTGAGGGAATTACACAAGCTTTTTAACCACCGTGACATACCTGGCCAACAAAAGGAAAATATAGTTGTGCAATATACAGCTTATCTTCTGCTTTCTGGTACCGCACATCAAATTCATGCTTGCATAAGAGGATCACTAAAATTCTTGCTCCCTGAAAGGATACCAAAAAAGGAAAACCATTCACAATGTAATATTCTTACATGATATGTATCTTATACTTAAACACTTCGAATTAAAGATACCTTGGCCCGCAGAGGAAGCTCGTCATGATCCAGGGAGAGAAATAACTCCTGTATTAATATGGATGATAAATAGTTCCT